CACTATACAGGGTTTTCCGCTGTTTGTTTCTTTGGCTTTTGCTTTCCTCGTATGTATGTTCCTGTTGGGTTGATGGCTCCATCTCGTATTCTAGTGTCTCTCACGAAGGTGGATGACTAGAGCTTCACAGTCGCATACTCCGTGTGATCTCGGCGCAAGCCCTCGCAAGATCAGCCAAATATGTTGAGCGGATTCTTTCTCCCCTTGTAAGCTTAGTCGAATTCTTTGGGGTACAGCAAGATTCAGTTCTACATTCGAGAGATCGGGGTGAGTTTCTGTTGGGGCGATCGATCGCGGGAGTGGGTCGATGCTCTCTCGATTTGGGAAGCAGTCTTTATCGTAGTCTATCTGGCCGTGTTCCGGCTCCCGAGGAGATATGCAATTATGCACTACCTGGTAGACTAGGCTGATGTTTAATTTCTAGCTAGCTCGACTATCTCTACCTATGCAAGGATCGGATTGGGCGTTTCTCTGGGGCTAGCTAGGCTAGTTTATGGTTTGTACCCTTTTTTGCTTTTGGGATCGGTTAAGCATCGCTTTTACCACACCTAAATAGAAACTTCATTCCGATCTCCCGTGTTCCCCCTCTCTGGAGTATATCCTCCCTCCATAATTTAGACTTCCATCACCAGCTAAAGTCCACAATGCCCCATGTGTTTATAATTAGTCGGCATCGTCCTTCATTGATGATTGATCGGATACAACAGCCGGTTCTAAGTTAGTGGAGCCATGCACGTAAGTTCGCTCAGGTAGCACCCGTAGTCTGCGGCGCTAGCCGATTGATTTGAAAAAGCGTCGACAGGCGACGGACCGGTTGGGGCCTTTAAAAGCGGGCTTGGCTAAGTAAGTGGTTAGTGGCACGAAAGCGCGAGATAGCTGCTTATCTAGTATCTACATATGCAGTCTCTATCTACAATATCGTCAAGTCGAATTCCGTCTCCCGACATAACGCAAACCTTGGCAATGGAATTCGGTGCCGATCACTGGGTTACTGCGGGTTTTCCCGTGTGCACATCACTGCACATCAGCCCTTATGTGTCCGTATGTGCCTAGCCCTTGGACTATTTTTTGTTCTATCCGTGGTACTGGGTCAATAAATCTGGGTTGGTTAGTTAATTCGTCTTGGGCGGCTTAGTGGGCTCGGCATTTGCTTTGTCTCGGCATTTAGGTGGTTCGTGGACGGAGTAGTTAGGGATCTTCCTTTTTCTGTTTCGTTTCTTTTCTTTGGGCATCCGTATAGGCAATGAATGGATGGAGGATTGTAGGCCTTGCTCCTTCACTGGTTCTCCATAGAGAAAGGTGTTGGATATTGAGCTAAGTTTGGGTCAGGAGGTTTTAACCTTCCAGGATGATACATGTTATATTTCATGTTGGCTTGGGGGGTGGTTTGCGTTTGGTTTTTGTCTGGGCCCGTACGTCCATACATACACGTACATATGTAGGTATGTTGGTATGTATATGTGGTGAAACGTATATGAGGTTTGTATTTGTTTTACTTTTGTCTGATCCTGCTCAGGTAGGGCCCGTATGTACAGTATCGACATATGTAGGCCATATTCTCGATTTTCTGCATACATGGGAACGCGCAGCAAGGCTTGCATTTTGCAGTGGTCGCACTGCAGCGATAGCTAAAATCGAGGGCAAACTCTTCCGCTCGAGAGGTATCTAGAGTGATTGCAGGGCAGTAATGGTCTCTTGGCTCCAGTGGGAGTAGTTTGTTAGGGTGATAATATACGAAAACAGAAGCGATTTAATAGCAATGCGTACATACTGTACATACTGTACATACCCAACATACACACAGGACAAACTCGCATACCATACATACGCCCAGGTATGTTTGTATCCATTGTATCTGAGCAATCTGACTTACAGTTAGGTTCGATAATCCTTCCAGCCCAACGATCTAGATTCAACTACTGAATCGGGCTCCGTAGTCTAATAGTGATGCGAGGCCAGGATCTGAGAATTGCTGGAACGAGTGGAAACGGAACCACCGATCCATCTGGAGGGCTCCTCTCCTGAATCGGTATGGTGTCAGCTCCTTTGGCCCCCTTGGGATTCAGACAGGAACACGAGGGGATCCAACCTTACTGGCTGATGGCATGCATGGCTCTTCCTTAGCGTGATGGAGCTTCCCTTCCTTGGGGCAATCTGCATGCACACCGAGTTTGGGGTTGGAGGGATTGGTTGGACGGCAATTCTCTACGTCAAGTGTAGGGGAGGTATTAACCTACGCTGAGGCTCCCGCTACGTAGGTCGCTATTTGGAAAGTTGATGGTGCGTGGCCACTGGTAGGATTCCAAATTGTCTACTCCGTGCTAATTAGTTGACTACAGAAATCTCTTACTGAATTAGACATCGCAAGCGAATTATATGGAGTGGTAAGTTTTGCGCTCCTGGGTTGAGAGTGGGGAATGCGATTCTCCGACCGAAATACCGTGTCCTCCACAGTGTGGTTGATTTGTTAGTTGTTACCTAGCTAATTTGGGTTGGGGGTGGACTCCTCACCAGCCTCTCTCCCTCTCTCTCTCCTGTCTCAAAATCTCAACTCACATTCCCTGATGCTTTCTGCAAGGCCTCAAACTCGCATGTCACGGCGTTGAACCAATGATAGGACAGACAAAGAGAAGATCTCATGCAGCCATCTCAGATCTGAACCATGAAAAGGGAGACCAGAAAATCGAGGACCAGTCGTCGCACCGACTCCACCGTGGCTTGAATCAGTGGATGGAAGCTAGAGCCGCGATCGCCGGCTGAGAGATCCAATCCCTGTTAGGATGGCGGGGTGGGGCGGCGAACACGGATGGAAAAAAACCCAGCGGCCCGAAATGGGTCAGATGGACCAGCGATTTGTCGTCTGGTCTTTGGGAATTTGATTTCTTCGTCTCTTATTTCTTCGGTTCGCTGACCAAAACAGGTTTCTTGACGTCAATTCCACCTGTCTGGCCTGTCCGCGTGTTGGTGAGACAGCAATGAACGGATGGTCCGGCCCTGAGATCGTCAGCAAACACCCTTGAGATCGCCGATCTCGCAAGATCGTCCCCTGATCGGTAGACAATTGCGGCAGTGCATCTGAACCTTCTACCTGATGATGTAGCTGCTTGAACTTCGAGGTCCAAATATTGTGGGGTTTGCTGTCAGTGGTTTTGACTCTATCCTGCGACTAAATTTCTCGTGGATTTAATGACTAGTATCTGCCTAGTAGTGCTCCTCCTCTCATCCACCATATCCGGCTTTAATAGGAGATATTTGAGACTGGGTCTGTAACGACTAATAATTAATAAATTCCACTGACTTAGGAGAGTAGACTCTACGCCGTACAGTCTACATAGGCAATAGTGGCCAGTACCCCTTCATTCTATGCAAGGGACCAATGACAGCTGTCATTGACCGCAGTTTGCGCCGGCAAATATGGAGTATATTCCACATTTCTCGTCGACTGTCGGTTTCGTATAGATGTTGGTGCGCGTTCCGTTAATTTACTCGAGCCCTCTGTCGAAATTGATTTGTGTAAGACCCGAAAAGGCAACCCGGTTGCCTAACAGCCTGAGATAATACCATCAGTGGAGCTCAGTTGAGATCTGATTACTGGTACAGGTACAAGTACAGGTATAGATACAAGTAAATATGTACATACTTTACATACGATAACATACGTGTAGGCGCCTTGGTTTTGAGTTTACCCTACTTTAGGAGGGTAATAAAATTATCCACCCCTCTTATGCATCGGATCGGTGAAGTAGCTGCAGGGTGATGTGGCAATGCAGATAATTAAGCATGCATTATAGGTCTTGGCGAAGTTGGCCTGGTTGCCTGCTGAAAAATCCCTCCGGGTAATGATAAGCAAACATTGAAGATGATCGGGCAAGCAGACAGGACCAGTTAAAAAAAAAAAAAAATTAAGGGACAGAGATAACCCTTGCATTAGGATTTGTTCGGTCTTGCGGGGTATCAGGATCGCAGTGCGGAAATCTCAGATGGGTGGAAAGTCTTTTTAGTCTTAGATCAAAGTACGGATATTGAGTCCATAATCCGTCTAATAGTGAGGCTCATCGTGAGGCTAACATTGCATACATATGCTCTGTATACCGGTTACCAATCACAGGTCATATCTGGTGGACGCGTATCAGGTTATCTCTGCCTGTGTAGGGGAAAGGGGATTAAACTCGTCATTTTAATAGGGTGGTCGGCGTTATGCATCTACGTTGGACTGGGAGGTGTCATATTGGAAATTGGGTGGCCGTTGGATCGAGATGATGGGTCGTGGAGTACAGGCTGCTTTAGGAAAGTCCATCTTTTGACTTCAAGTACTCCGTAGTATTTATTATAAATCTGAGGATGATTCTGTGAGTTGCTATTCATAAGTATTTGTCATTTAACGATCTGGCATGATCTTTGGTCAGTCAACCTCATCTACATAATATACTTGTTGCGCTGATCAGATTATCGGGACTTATTCCAGCGCATCCATACTAGATCTTGCTGTGGGAACTAATGGCAATATTTGATCCAATACTGCGCGATATGAAGCCTGTTCTAGCAGTAATTGAATAATGTGATAACGATCCCATCAGCAGCTCTATTGGACTGGAACTCCCAGGCATAGCGAAGGATGTCTTCTGGGTACTGTACAGGTCTGGAGTATTCCGTTCCTTAGGCAAATAACAATGGAGATGTTCGTACGATAAGATAAGAACTCCTTATCGATAATCAGAAGAATCATGTGGGATCACGTGCGGGGAAGCTTTCCCCTCCTTCTGGCACGACTGACGTGCCTTTCTTCCCCATCATCATCGTCTACTTATAGCTGGTCTTATCAGCGATCTAAGTGGGCCTCTACATCGTGCTTTTCCACACGCCTGAATTCCATTTATCATCATTTCCATTGTCCATTCATCCAGGATAGAACCCCGGGCAAACTCTCATTGTCTTAGCAAACACCACTCCTACCCAAATCCCTACGCGTGCTAAAACGCACCCTTACCCCGCAATCTAAGATGGCGGTTCCCATCAGCGAAATCCCCACCGTTTCCCTCCTCTACAAGCTTCGACGCTTGATCCCAGCCTCCTCTCCCCAGGCATCGCCCTCGAAAACCTTCAACGACACTATCTCGCTTATCCGAAATGACATCACCAAATTGCACGACGTCGACTGCATCGTCAATGCAGCAAACGAGACGTTGCGTGGAGGCAGTGGGGTTGACGGTGCTATTCACCGCGCCGCAGGCCCAGACTTGTTGAGGGAATGTCGCACCCTGGGTGGTTGCGACACCGGCGACGCCAAGATCACCTCAGCTTACAATCTCCCCTGCAAGAAGGTCATCCATGCCGTTGGCCCCATCTACGAGCTCGAGAGGCGAAGCGGTCCGAATCAGCCGGAAGCTCTTCTGCGAAGCTGCTACCGGCGCAGTCTGGAGCTGGCGGTGGAGAACAACATGAAGCGCATTGCGTTCTCGGCTCTCAGCACTGGCACATATGGATACCCGAAGAGAGAGGCGGCCTGCACTGCTCTTGATGAGACTCGAAAGTTCCTGGAGCGACCGGAAAACAGTGGACAGCTGGAGCGGATCATTTTCTGTAACTTCGAAGCGGCCGATGAGGCTGCCTACGAGCAGTACATTCCGTAAGTTCTGCCTTCGGACCCTTTTTTTTATTTGACTTTGCTGACCTCTATCTAGAACTTACTTCCCCCCTGTCGGCCAGGACGTGCCCCGTTCCAGTGGTCAGGAAACTGGTCCACAAGCACACGTTGACGGTGAGTCTTCGCCGTCTCCCGAGTTGCTTGCAGCTAAGCTTCCTGACCCACCTACCGTGGACCCTGCCTTGGAAGGACAACCCGAAGCTAAGAAAGCCAAGATTAATGCAGGTCATAGGGGTAGGGGAAGGCCTTCCGAGGATATTACAATGAAGTCGGATGAAAGGAGCGAAGATGACTGGGAGGAGGTTAACCGGTCTGATGACGGTCGGACGGAAAGATTAGATGACGAGCCTGTCGAGGTGGACCGACCTCCATCAGTCACTGATGTTCAGAGTGTCCAGTCAAGTGGAATTATCGATAGCATCCACTCTCAATCCACAGAGAGCTTGATTGGCAAGGACTGGTGATCGATCTCGCTGCATGGCTGTTATGAATTAATGTCTTGGTTGGCGTCCTTTATGAGCTTCTCCACATTGTGGATGGTGTTTGATCCTGTTTTCTCTCTCTCAATTCTGCCATGCTTTAATGTTGAGCACAACAGTGCATTTCTTACGAATAAGTATGACTACGTCCCCATAGCACTAGAGATTGTATTCCCATTTTCAGCCAACTTTTCTGTTTTCCATCCTATCTTTGGGATTGGCGTAATCTCGTCGACTCTGAACCTTCCATTGGGCTGATATGTTTTTCATTTCGCCTTAAGAGGATTCATCCCCACAATCCCTTTAAACCATCATATTTCACTTAGTAGTCCGGCTAGAGGTTTCCAAATTGGCCAGTAACTATTCAAAAGGCGCCAAGAAATCGACGTAAACCTGAACTCGCCTCAACCACCACATTTCAAGATCTAAAGAGTGCTCCGAAAGAGCTCACCTCGACCGTCATTGACCAAAGTGGGCCGCCCTTCTTCGGTTCCAGATGATAGCATGTGAGTCCTTGTCATAGTAATAGACAGGGCGTCTTCCATTTGCGCAGATCGTGTACCCATTAATAATCGGACTTCTTAGCCGTGATGCCTAGTCAGTTGGATTCGGTAGCATCGGCCTAGACACGCATGCATATCTGATATTATCGGCCATGACATCCAATCCGAGCCTCCGAGGTAGCATGCAGCCTGACTTCCAAGTCCGAATGCAACGGAGTGGTCATGGCCCTCTCTTATCCATCAAATCAGATTCAACGACCGGTGCCAATCCATGTGGATCCGACAAAGATTTCCCCTTGCGGATTAGCGCCCCTTGTATAGGTACCTACCTTACATCCGCACGAAGCGGTCGTCCAGTTGTCACGATGGTAGGTGTCGCCAATGATGGTGCGGTGCTGTCAGAGGGCGCTATGCGGAGTAGCTTCTGGATAAGGCTATAAAAAGGGTCTGGGTCGTTGTCCATCTTGACATCTTTTACGACTGTCTCTTCGTTTTTCTACCTACTTCGTACTTCCTATTCTTGTTTTTTGACCTGATAAAGAATCATCATGGGCGACTATAAGGATCCTGCGGTTGCTGCAGCAGCACCTGCTTTGGCTGATGCGACAGTTGCTAAACAGGACCTCGAGACCACCAGCTCTTCAGGTGCAATTCTCTACCGTCAACTTCGGCAGAAGCCCTTGAACATCGTGGGCGGCCGAGGCAGTTATATCCTGACCGATGACGGCCGAGAGATCCTAGATGCGACCTGTGGCGCGGCTGTGTCTTGTCTCGGTCATAGCGATGAACGCGTGCATGCCGCCATCCTCGAGCAACTGCAGAAGATCCCTTACTGCTACTCTTTGTATTTCACTAATAGTGCGGCGGAGCAGCTGGCTGGGTTCTTGGTCGACTCGACAGGCGGGAAGATGAGTCGTGCATCTATTTTCTGCTCAGGTAAGCTGTTACTCGCGTAGCTCTATCCAGCTAATCCGACTCTGTTCGGATAGGATAGGAATCGGGCACTGACAAGTTGCCAGGAACCGAGGCCGTCGAAGCCGCTGCTAAAATGGCTATTCAATACTTCACTGAGCTACCAGCACCTCAGCGCCAGCGCGTCAAATTCATCTCTCGGAAGCAGTCTTACCACGGAAACACTCTGGGATCTTTGGCTATCGGATATCATGCCGCCCGTCGGGGGATCTACGAGAGCTTTCTCTCTAAGAACGTCACTCATGTCTCGCAGTGCTATCCGTACCGTGACATGAAGACCGACGAAAGCGTTGAAGCCTACGTCGCTCGTTTAGCGCAGGAACTAGACGATGAATTCCAGAGACTAGGCCCGGACACCGTCTGCGCCTTCGTGGCTGAGACGATGGCAGGTGCTGTACGTTTCCGAATAAAATTGCTTTCTTAGTTTCGGGGGCTAATTACCTGAGGGGGGAAATTCTAGACTCTCGGATGCGTCCCACCGGTACCAGGATACCTGAAGGCAATGAAAGAAGTCTGCGATCGACACGGCGCCCTGTTCATCCTCGACGAGGTCATGTCGGGCATGGGCCGCACTGGTACTCTACATGCCTGGGAACAAGAGGACGTCGTCCCGGATCTTCAGACCATCGCGAAAGGCCTCGGGGCCGGCTATGCCCCCATCGCGGGCCTCCTGTACAATAAACGCGTCGTGGACGTACTGACGCAGGGCACGGGCGCGTTTACTCACAGCCAGACATACCAGGGTCACCCGGTCTCTTGCGCCGCCGCGTTCAAAGTCCAAACTATTATCCAGGAGGATAATCTGCTAGCGAATGTGCGCGCGATGGGCGAGTATTTTGGCCAGCTTCTGCATGAACAACTGGGCAGTCATCCGCATGTGGGTGATATTCGGGGGAGAGGACTGTTCTGGGCTGTAAGTCTTTCTTTTTTAATTCTTGTTAGCGAGGCAGACAGTGTGTTAACTTGTTTGTGCAGATCGAGTTCGTGGAAGATAAGGGCACGAAGAAGCCATTTCCGCCGTCTAGAGCAGTGTCATGGAATGTCCATGAGACTGGACTGAAGCCTGAGCATTCTATTTCGTTTATTCCTGGGAATGGGGGAGCTGATGGGAAGAATGGAGATCATGTTGTTCTGGCACCGCCGTATAACACGACGAAGGAAGAGGTGGAGTTGATTGTTGAACGGACGGCGCGTGTTGTCAAGGATGTTCTGGGCTGAGGGTTCAAATGTTGAGATGGTTGTGCGGTTTATGATTTTAATTTTTATATATCAACCTAATGGCTCGCTGTAGGTATATGGAGTCTGATAATCCTACAGAAGATTTGTTTACCTCTAGAGGTAGAAGAAACCTGTTGTAGATTCCTGCTCAATTCAAAAATATGCAACCTATCTCGTAGAGAACTAGCGAAGACTCACCACTCACACCACTCCTGATAAGAACTAACCATCTTGACTTCTCACTCACAAACTATCCCCGATTTTGATTCTCCAAACACTCTTCCCCAAGTGCACATCAAAAGATCAAGCCAAATACCCAGACTCAACGCCCCTTGCAATCAACCACACCCCCACAGCACTGATCCTCACTACTCTTCCAGATACAGTTATTCTCCTCCGCCTTCACATCACACGGCACCTCAGTGAACTCAAACGGCACACACGCCTGCTTATCATTCTCAAAGAAGGTCAACGCAGGCGTGGTAGATGGACAAGCCGGTCCGAGACCATAGTCGAATCCACCCAGACAGTACTTGCCACACGGCCACTTGGTCATGGAGAACTTGCCCGCCTGCGCGAAAACATCCGTCTTGCCAACATGCGCGCCGTTCATGGCTGCGTTCAACCACCGATTCGGCAGCGCCCCTGTGCGCGGATTGCCGTGGATATCCTTGATGTAGACCTGGTCTGAGGGGCTGATTGGTTCGCCGGCCTTGCAGGCCTCGTCTTTGCAGAGCTTGAAGCGTCCGGACTTCAGCGCCATGCTTTCGGCGTCTGTGATGAACCAGCTGCCGCCGAAGCCGAGGCGGTGGCCGTTTTCGCCGGTGAAGGTGTAGCATTTTCCTGGGGTGTTGGTTAGCTACTAGCTCACTTGGGTTTCAATTTCAGGGGAATAGAGATGTAGATCCAAGAACGGGACGAGGGACAAGACATACCGGTCTGCAGGCCCGAATCACACTTCACGGCCTCGCAAATGCCGTGGGGTCCCTCCTTTGTGCCCTTAGGGCATACGCACTCCCCATTCACCAACACCTTTCCGTTCTGACACACCGGATCCTTAGCCTTGCAGACGACTCCGTCGTAGACCTCGCCCTCTGGACAACAGATATATCCGGTTTCCTTCGACCCAGCGAGATCATGTCCCGTGGCGCAGCAATCAAACGCCGTGTCGGGGGACCCGACGAGTCTCTGTCCGGACAGACAGCATCCCGCGAATTTCTTGTCGCCACTGAGGCTGAGCTTTTTGTTGCCGGCTTGGTCGTCGCAGTCGATGGAGGTCTTGAACCCGTCTTCTGTCCAGGTGATCGAGTTGCCGATGATGGACCAGGTTCCGGAGATTTCTTTGACGGGGATGTTGGTGGTGTAGGTCTTTGCGGTGGCGAGGGGGGTGGTGGAGAGGAGGATGGTGGTTGCGAGGGAGAGGGTGAGGGATTTCATCTTGGATGGGAGTCTCGATTGAGAGATCGCAAGGAAGAATGGGATGATATATTGTTTGATGTTGAAACCGATGATGATGATGATGGAATAATGAGAGCAGATGAGGTGCCTTCTGCCCTCTTTTATATCCTGTTCGAAGGCAAAAGTCCTTCAGATCTGATCGGGTCGGCGGTGCTGCTCTACGCAAAGCTCGTCCCCAACTGAACGATGATGTTCTTTGGAAATGCTACTTCCAGTTCAACCCTGTCCGTCGGGCTCCAGTGGTGTCCAATAAAAATTACGATCTCCGGATCGAAAGCGAGCTGAAGTCAGTCCCCGAACTTCATGGCTGGCTGGATGTTTGGATCCCGATACCTTCTCTTTCCTCTGGTGGCGGCGCCTCCATATAGAGATCCTAGAGGCCCAGCGCCTATGTGGAGTTTAGTAGACGCAAGCTAGCAAACCGCATGCTGTAGACGCATGTCGCAAAACCTGTAGGCAACCTTGACTGTCGAATTGACATGTTCGTCAGCAAGCGAGAGTTTGTGGTGGAGCTGAAGAGAATGATACATGCCTCTAGATGTGCACAAAATGGCACAGAACTTTGGGCTATCCGGATCTTTTATGTTGCTTGTGTATTTTGCAATTGCATCTTCAGGCAGCATGTAGAGGCTTGAATGCGATGGCACTGAAGCATGTATTCTAAGTTCAAATCCTGGTCAGAAAAATAGTCGTAGTATTGAGAGAAGAAAATGTTTCAAGGGCCTTGATATCATCAGTAAAAAAAACTACTTAGTATGTTAGATTTCAGTTAGAGGGAAAGAGAAAAGATAGTAGAAGGCCTGGACTCTGTCTGTGCGCTGACATCCTATCAATCTATGCCATACTGTTTTCATGTAGGATTTCTTTTTGATTTTCACGAGAGCAGACAGAATGCAAATGCCCTGATCCCAACCACTCAAGCCAAGAACATGTCTCGTTCATGCATCAGCAGCCAAATTTCCCACTTGCTCTCAGCCTTAGAGACGCGTGCACCGATACTTCTCCCAAAGGGGTTATCACTTACTAAAAGAGTGGGGAACTCATGCATGAACTGCGTCTTAGGAAACCATCCGGCCAAGCTCCGGACAGTTCGTTGGCAAATCAAAATTTGGTGTTCTCCAAGCCAGCGAACCTGCAGATGTGGAGAAGTCATTTACCTAAGACAAACCCATAGATAGGATGTGCGCTCAGCTCAGCTGCGCCGACACCCGGCGTAGATTTGTTTGTGTTTGCTTTTGAGGAACCCTGTGGAGAGCTGGCGGGGGCTGCATGGGATTTCAATTTGGGTAATGAGATACAGCCTTTGCATATTCCATTCTGAAGTCGAGGAGGTGGCTAGTTAATCGAGTTGTGTTGTTGACGTCAGTGATTTTGATTGTTTGCAGGGGTCAATCATGCTAGAGGATAGGTCTTTCGCGTGCTCTACGAAGTACACCGATGTACTCGGTCAAGCTGAGGATTAATGCTCTACCTTTGAACAACCCTTGATTACTGTCAGCAAACCTTAGTCTTTGAGTTCTCGCCATGAGTCTCTATCTTTTACAGCATACAAAACCCTTGAAGAATTCTCGTCTCCAACCTATGGTTCTGGCTTATCCTAGCCATGCCCACCAGCGCTAGTTCCTCGAACCAATTTAGTTTGATCTTCGCATTCTTCATTCCTTTAGCGCTGACTTGTCCACTCCATTTCCCCGCCTCCGATCATTCCACCGCCGCAGAACTAATTCCGTATTCAGATCAACATCATTTGCGTTGTGCATCTGCACGACACCCCGCCTAATCTACAGAAGTTGATTGAACCCCTACAGTGAACCCTTCAAAACCCAACCCAACCAAATAAGTGCCAAACCTTAAAGAAAACCAGGATGCCCTCAATCCAACCCCCCATCGAAGTCGACCCCGACGAAACCGACCACCCCTCCACCGACTCCACCAGCACCTCTCTGGCCTCGTCCATCCTCCAGTACGAATACCGCCATGGCCGACGGTACGCGCACGCCTCCTCCTCCCCCTCCTCGGGCTCCATCCCCGCAACCGGAGGAACGTATTACTTCCCCAACGACCAGCCCGAGCAAGACCGGTTAGACATGATCCACCACGTCTTCTTCCGCCTCCTCGGCGATCGGCTCTTTCTCGCGCCAATCGACTTGACGGGAAAACGCGTCCTCGATATCGGCACCGGAACAGGCACTTGGGCGCTGGACGTTGGCGACGCGTACCCGGGCGCCGAGGCCGTCGTGGGCGTCGATATCAGCCCCATCCAGCCGGCGTGGGTGCCGCCCAACGTGAAGTTCTATGTAGACGATGTGGAGAAGTCGTGGGTCGAGAATACTCCCTACGACTTCATCCACTGTAGGTATATGGCTGGGTCGATTCGGGACTGGGCCCTTTTGGTGAGGCAGTGTTTCGAGAATTTGGCGTCCGGTGGATGGATTGAGTTTCATGAGACGGAGAATACGTTGTATTCGGATGATGGGAGTCTCAAGGGGGATGGGAGTAGCTATATGGTGAGGATGATGGAGGGGTTGATGCGCGCGTGCGACATGATCGGGCAGACGATGGACCCGGCGCCGAGGATTCGGCGGTGGGTGGAGGAGGCGGGGTTTGTGAATGTGAGTGTTGAGAGGGTGAAGTTGCCGGTCGGCAGCTGGCCGAAAGATGCGAGGTTGAAGGGGTGTGGGAGTTTGATGAGGGTCAATTTCGTGGAGGGTGTCGATGCCTTCACCGCGGCGCTGTTTCCGGAGATCCTGGGGTGGGAGAAGGAGCAGGTGCAGGCTTTGAATGCGGGTGTCAGGAGGGAGGCGTTGGATGGGAATGTTCATGCTATATTCGATCTGCTGGTCGTGAAGGCGCAGAAGCCGTAGGTCTGATGGTTGGATGATTTAATGATGGTAACGATGATGATTGATGATTTGCGGGCCAGAAGCTGTATACCTACATTCCTGATGATGATGATTGCAAAGATTCAATCGAGAGTGCAACAACAGATCGTAGATCCCATAATAGCCGAGTAAATACACAAAAAATGATGAAATCAACACGAAACGCCCGCATGAACCCCCAGTGCAGAGATGAATCCGGAAGAAAGATGCAAAAGAGGGGGGAGGTTTATACTCCCCGCCAGAGCACATGATACGACACCCCCGAAACCAGGCCACCAACCCCGTCCATACAACGCAAACCAACACCATCGCCCGATCAAGACTGATAAGCCCAGACATACCCCCAAGGCAGCAGCTCCTCCATGCCCACAACCCTCAATACCTTCTCCCGGCCCTCTTCCGCGTCTGCCTGATCCACGACAACCCCGATCCCCGGCCACAAGTCCGCCAGCACCTGCCGGCATCGACCACACGGACTCAGCACCTTTCCGCTATTATCGACCGCCACGATCGTCGTCAACTGTATCTCCGTGCTCAATCCGACCCCGACGCCCGCGGCCGCTGCGGCGCCCAGCACGACCAGTTCGGCACACGGGCCGCCCGTGAAGTGGTAGACATTGAGGCCTGTGTGGATGCGCCCGCTGGAATCCATGGCTGCGCTGGCGACCGAGTGGGTATCGGATTTAGGGACAGAGTCGATGAGATTGCTCGCTATTTCGAGGAGGATTGTTGCGTTTGCGTCGGCGGACATTTTGGTGGGTAGGTGGTTTGTTTTTTCGGGTTCTTTCTTCGGGATGCGATTTATCCAGAGCAGGAGATAGGAGATGAGGGAGAGACACATTATGATGTAAACGGGGCAGGGAACCGGGGTGGACTGATTTATATACATGCTACATGCGTTGTACGACGTTGTGGTACGTGTCTCGAGGCAAGATCCGAACAACTGGACGAGTGGAGATGCTCGGCATCCGATTTGGGCTGTCGGGGGGCGTCCAATCCGCTTGTGCCGTCGAGATGATGGTAGGTGCCTGGAAGTAGAGGGAGGACTGGGCAGGTTAATTGATGTTTCTATACCAGGAGCCAATTTTTCTTACTTTTTTTCCTCCTACGTAAGATGCGCTGTTTAGGTACCTGCCTTAGTAGAAACATCCCTAGAAACACTCCGATTGGGGAGCTCGGGGCGCGGTACCAAATGTAAAAGCTTGGCTGAGGATTAGGTAGGCTCCTGTACCTAAAGGCCGATCGTCAACATCGCATGCTACAGTAGATGGCAATGTGCACAAAAGCACACTAACGACCGCGGGCATTATTCAACTTTTCTAGCTATATACAACAATCGAAGTACGTTCAATGCGATAGGTCTAGTAATTCGAAAGTGCAGGTAAGCTAACTATACTATGGCATACGTAGAATAAGTTAGCAACGGTTATCTTGGTGCAAGTGAAGCGGTGCCAGTCCCATCTTTAAGACCCTTACCGCGGCCTATCGATATGTTCTTCCCTTCGGCTGGAGAATCTCAGACGAGGTTTAAGAGAGGATTGGCGCAGAGTGGAAAGTGGGTACAAACGGCAAATTCTTCTGCATTTGGTAACAGACCCCGTCGTCTTAGTGCCCCACAAATCTCCGTAATCATCTCAAGGAGCGCTCCATACTCAGCCGTATGTAGAATATAGTATGCATTCAGAGCCATAATGACGAAAGATCAGCTCAATTAGTTTGAAGCCCCAGGAAAATAGGAAATCCTTAGCATGCGGGGTGACTATGGAATGCGGGGAAGACCCTCTACTACAAAAGAAACGACGAGTTGTTCGATTTCTGCGAAGGAAAGGTAGCAGGAGTTAATAATAATAGATTTTGTTGATAATTCCGAATAGCGCGTGCTTCATTTGGAGATATGGCGACGCCTTCAAGAAAATCCGGCACCTCATCTGAGCATCTGGAAACTTTGCCTGGTGCTCAAAGTCTACCCAATGCGTCTTGTTTACCGCAAGGACACAATCCCCAGGAACAGCCATGGATTCAATCTTACAAAGCTCGTTATCCTCGCTGGCTTACTGGTAATAAGTTGCTATGGATGGCTTCAATATTTGGATCGCTCGGTGACGCTTTGTTTGGATTTGACCAAGGTACGCGTGTATGTTCTCCGTGTCAACAGAGCGAAAGCTGCTAACTAATGAGATACATAGGAATCATGGCTGGACTCCTTGTCAATTCGACCTGGGTGAAACAATATCTATCCGACAGAGGAGGGGCCAATGGGACCACGGATGATGTCAACGCTTCACTGACAGGTACGTCGCTTGCCGCACATGCAAACCATCTGATTAGGGCAAACATGACGGAATAGATGCTCAGTTATCATTGTTTCATATCTTCAAATCGCAGCGGCTATCGCAGCCCTCTTTTCCGGAACCCTGGCAGACAAATTAGGGCGAAAACGATGTGTCAGAATGGGAGAATCTCTTAATCTCGTAGCAGCTATCATACAGTGCTTGCCGCCTAATCTGGCTGCATTCATCACCGGGAGAACCCTTCAAGGATTTGCAGTCGGCATGCTGTCGATGACAATGCCGATTATTCAAGCTGAGATTGATCGACCCCATCGCGTACATACAATCAGCCCTAGTCCTCCCCTTTTCTGCTTCAACAATTGTTTGCTGACCTTTATTTGAACCAGCGTGGTCTCTTAGTCGGGATTGAATACAGCTTTCTGATTTCTAGCTACATGCTGTCATGTTGGATCAACTATGCTGTTTATTATCCCATCCCAAGCAACGAATATTTCCGAACTCCATTCTGTGCCCAGATGGGTCTCGCAACAGTTCTTGTTTTCATGTCATTTTTCCTTCCAGAAACACCTCGCTGGCTTGCGAGATACGGATTCTTGTCCGAATGCAAGCAAACCTTGGCGGACCTTCATGCGAATGGTGATACCACAGACCCGGATATCCAAAATGTAATCCTTGAGATACAGCAGGCCGTCTTCTATGAGGGTGGGCTTGGAAAGGTTCGTTGGTCGGTAAGTGGGCTTTAATAATCTTATTGTGTCATATAGAAAAGAGCGCTTATCATGCTTTGAACCTGATTAGGATATGTTTGGTCGTTACCGTCACCAAACCGTGATGGCAATATCGGCTCAAATGTTCGCCCAGTTGAATGGTATCAACGTAATTTCGTTTTACCTTCCAGGCACGTTGTCCAAGGCCGGTTATACCACCGATCAGCGATCCTACGTGGGCGCATAGAGCCATCGCTCTAGCCGCCAAAGTGGCCAAAGTGACCGACTTTGCCTACGGACCTAATGAATATCGTACCAAAGAACAATGGGAGTTTCTAATGCAATACCTTCACGACTGGGAGAGCCTACGACTGCCTTCCTTCCGGCCCATCTTCTGCGGGAGCGGTAGAAGTGCCACATCTGCTCATTTCCCAAGGTTGCATTTCTGCAGTGATTATCATGTTGCTGCTAGTCAGTATACTGAACTTTCTCGTATTCTACTGTTTGCGTCGGATCCGAGTGCCTATCAAATACGCATTGGGAGACTAGCTCAACGACGAAATCACGACGACGCTATTAGGCAGTCGGTTCGGTTGATCTGTGGGGTGGCTTTGGCTAATAGACAATATATGCCGGCGCGTTCAACCGCAGGATTGGTCATTTCTATGTGTGGGGAGCTATTTTCCGACAGAAGTGAAACTAAAGTGCTGCTGGAGCTGCTAACGGAGGCCGAATCCCATCTAGGGTGGCCGTGCTTGAAGTTGAAAGATGAGCTAAAGCAACTGTGGAAGCTGAGTGATCCTGAATAATATGACTGCTGTATTGTCATGGCCTTGAAACTACTATGGTTATTTTGCTTTCCTGTTCGTCATTATAATCGCCCTCGATGACCCCTTGCGGGATGTCCATCAATATGATTGCAACATAACAAGATACGAAGGAATGGAGTCAAAACAACTGTATATTGAGCATCATCGATGGATAACTGATATGTTTCATATAGTCAATTTATCAAAGACAGAAACCATTTCCAACATAATAATAGTTGAGTGCTTTGATGAAAATAACTTATTCTTTTCCCTTCTTTGGTCGCCTTTACCCGCACCGCGTTGTAGTCCTCGGTTTGTGGGAGAGGTGCAAAAAGACTTGGGCATTCCCACAGAGAAACCAAGCTCTGATCCCTGCAAAGCTCCACGTGTCGGGCAATTTACGAGTCAACTTTCTTAGCACCTTTGTAGCCATTTTTGCGGTCATCTCCAAGAAAGCCGAGGATGAAAAACTCTGCCCATCTGGTTAGCTTTTTAGAAGGTACATAATAATATGACGTGCTTCTTACCGGCCAGGTTTAGCTTCTGGTCCCCAGTTACATCCGCTTCCCTGAACTCGACTGCAAGTGTCTTGTAAGTTGTCTCGTCGTTAGGTCTCCAGACTTGGCACAGTTCTTGCAGGGTAACGCGTCCTGGTGGTGCGGTCAGCTTTTGCGATCGTGTATTTTATTCGCAGATCTATATCTTACCGTCACCGTCAAAGTCCTATATAAAGAAGCGATTTTTAGTATTACTCAACAACTTTAGTGCTATTGATGGGATGGCTTAGACTTACTGCTTTATAGAAATCAGCAAGAAAATCTCGAATGAGGTTTGACAAGTAGTAAATGTTCTGCAGATCTGTATTAGCGAATTCGACGGAAGACCCAGTAAACACATGCATCCAAATGGGCTCTAACCTTCGGATCCTCCTGTTTGAGCTCCTCCAGACAAGCCTGCTTGGTCTTGTTGTTCTCCCCTGCTTCCTTGTTCCTGAGCTCATCTAGCGCTGCCGCCCTCCCAGAACTGTACCCCTCACTCCTGCCAGCGTTTCTGCCAACCTCGTACCAAGACATGACTATGGCTGTAGTTTCCAGAAAAGACTCAGTGATAGGTAGTAGATCTGAGACGTGAAGAAGAAAGCTAAGGCTAATGGTGAGATATGGATAGCTTGAGAAACGAGAAATGCCCATGGACCTAAATGAGAGCACACTTATATATGTGTTTCCTTGAGCTTGGGCGTCATTTTCAAGTGTATGCTCAGTGGTAAAAGGTGCCATTGCCGGGGATAGCCTGCAGTCGCCAACACGGCCGCGACAAGCGCAAGTCTGCATTGTCAGCAGTAGGTGCGCTTCTACTGCCTAAAACCGTCTAATTCAAGCCCACAGGAACTTCAGGATCGACCTTGGTGATTTAACGCGGAATTTGGGGATAGAACGGGCCTGTGTAGCGACACAAATAAAATTTGTTTTTCTTTCTATACTACATACTATCTTGAATGTACAAAGTGTGTTATTCAAATTAGTTCTGATTATGCCTACTCTAGAAAGTGACAGCGATTTTGTGAAGAAGCAGGAAATTATTCCTCATGTGTATGTATGAAATCACCAAGTAGGGCAACCAGTAAGAAACATATAAACATCATAGAAATCATGATCGACTCTAAGTGTTCAGTAATTTAGATACGGGCTTGTGGCTTGCTCTTGGCAATTCAAGACTTTCGGAGATCGGTGGCCAGAGGCTGTTATTCGCTCGCGTAACCGCGCATATGGGCTGCATATGATGAATCACCAAAGATTCTGGCCAGGCCTTTTCAACTCTGACGTTGGATCCCAGTCTTGCAATCAGTTTGAAGAATACCGAGTAGGGAACGGCCTGGGCTAGAGCAATGAAAGTGGTATCATCTATGGTACAGCAATCGGCTCACTGAGAAAGAAATTCCAGACTCTTGGCTGTTTGGCTGTGACGAGTGGAATAATACCTCAAGCACCCACACCTGCCTCGGAAATATCATTACCGGAAATAAGATATAGTGCTGTAAAATGCCTAACGTATTGCCTAACCGAGAGAACCGCTCTTCCCGCTGCTTGGGCACTCTTGACAACCTTCCTACACGGGACAAAGGGTATATTTTGGTTTTGGGTTCGAGATAATACTCTTTAAATTCTGTCCCTGTCAATGTTGTGACCGGGCCTCTTTATATACTGGTTTGATGTTGGATATGCACCTCCCGGGTAAAACTAACATATACTTTGTGCTTGTGTACTAGGTACGTGATACACTCTTCGACAACTAATCCCCAACTCCCCAAAGTTGCTCCTTTCTCTACCTAGATGCCTTTTTTATAGGTTACCATAAGGCAGATACTATTGTACCTACCTTACCGATATCACTATTGGTTAACACGATATAGAGTGAGCTTGCTTGGCGTTATTCATATAGATTTTAGAAAGCAAGCGACGCACGATTCGTCTTGTAGGTACCACTAAAGAAACAACGACAAAATATCAATCCTACAACATTAAATCCCACCAGGAGCCGCGAGAGCAGTAGACAACAGAAGAGCACTATGTCTTTCTGGTTCTGGCAAATCGTAAGCTGCTAGATCGACGCCAGAGAAGCCAGCCTTTTTCAGCTGCTTGTTCCATTGCTCTGCAGATTGCAGGGGGCTCTCCGTTCTACCCTCATCGACACCAAGCCACCAGCCAGCCAGCGGACCAAAAGCCATGTTGAAGTAAGGGGTTAAACGAGTCAGTTCGACCAGTCCGAGCACACCGCCGGGCTTCAGCAGCTTGTGAATGTTACCCAATGACTTAGTGAGCGACCTCGTCGCGTGTACGACGTTCGCCGCAATGATCAAGTCATATGAGTGCTCTTCGAATCCTTGCTTGGCGGGGTCATTTTCCACGTTTAGAGTTTTGAATGTGAGCAGACCGTCCCAAACTTTCAGGGTACTTTGACCCGTCTTAAAGAAGCCATGTGAGATGTCTGTATACATATACTGCGAACAGAAGGATTCACCGTTCGGACTGCATGCGTTCAGCACTTGGAAGGTCGTACCTCCTGTGCCAGCGCCGACCTCTAGGATCCTTAGGCCTTTCTTACGACTGGTGAGTATCTTAGCATATTCGGCCACGTATCTGTTGGGTCTGGCGCCCTCGTCGGAAAGATACATCCGGAATAGGAGGTTATCTCTGAGCATATGGAAAAGCGAATTGGTTTGGCCGGTCAACATGCGAACTATCTCTGGCCCAATGCGGGATATCGCTTCGCCTTCGATGCCCAGTTTCGAAGTGAGCGCTTGTAGGTCTTCCTTGGTGCTTGGGCTCTGCTCAATAAGCGCCTGTCCTGACTCGGACTCTAAAAACCCTTGCATCACCTTCCACCAGCGGACTCGGTGGTCCTGTTTCACGACCAGTTCGCGGTCCTGCACCTCCTTGACAGCCCAGTCGATATACCGGGCACAGGCTGCCGAGCCGACGTTGAATTTTTCGGCCGCGGACATTCCAATGTCATCAGATTGCATGGGCATGACAACCGACTCCAGCACCTCCGCAGTAATTGGGACTCCGCCCACGGAGGTCGCCTGACCGAAGGTATCTTCTTCCACTGGAGCAGTATCCTCATCTTCGTCCGTGACTGTGCGAGCAGTAAACTCCATACCGGACCATTCCGTGTTCAGCTCTCTGTCGAGCCACGACTTCCACCCTTGGACGCCGCCAAAGTAAAACATAACTTTAGCAGGCTTGCCCGGGATACTGGTGCTAACGAACCAAGAGCGGTGCTCGGTGGCGGGCTTGGAGATCCAGACAGAATTCCACAGCCCGTCAGCATGGTCCGTCCATGCATCCACAGCTTTCTCAGTGACATTAACAGTCGCCAGCTTGTTATTATCCATGTGACCAATCGTTTTGCCGATCCAATCCATGGCGATCTCGAGCATCACTGGCTGATTGCCTGCCGGCATGTGAGGGCCGCAAACGATGAACATGTTGGGAAATCCATTGACCAGCACACCAGCGAAAGTGCCCAGTCTGTCGCTCCAATGTTGCTTTAAGGATTCTCCATGGCTACCAGTAATCTCCATTTGGTTCAGCGCCCCCGTACCGGCATCGAATCCTACCGCAAAAATGATCATATCAAACTCGTATTCCGCACCGGAGCTAATCCGAATTCCTTTCTCGCACAGCTCAATCTCGTCTCGACTGATGTCGACCAGTTTGACGTTGGGTCGATTGAAGGTCTCAAAGTAGTGATGTCCGGACGGCGGACGCTTGGCACCGAACGGATATTTGGGACACAGGATCTCTGCCTTCTTCTGGTCCTTCACGATGGCGCGAATTTTCTGGCGGATGAATTCCGCGCACTGCTCGTTGGTCTCGGGGTCCATAAACACATCATCAAATGTCTCCATCTGGAAGTTAAAAATGCCGCGTTCCCAGCCATCGTCGAAGACTTGTCGGATCTGGTCGGGGTCCGTCCCCTTGAGGGTTCTCCCAGATGCTCTGCAGGCGTGGCCGGCGAGATTCATCGATGCCATTTCCCAAGTGGTATCGTGGTTCTTCTTGATGTCGACGACCTGGTACTCATCGATGGCATAATTGCGCCCAGGAAGCACGTAGTTCGGTGTGCGTTGAAACACAGTCAGTTCCTGGGCGGCGGGCGCAAGTTTAGGAATGAGATGGACGCCTGTGGAACCCGTGCCCACAATGGCGACACGCTTTCCTTGGATATCCACCTTGTGTGCAGGCCAGGTGGACGCCTGGTACCACTCGCCGGTGTATGTCTGGAGTCCCGGGAAATCCGGAACTTTGGGAACCGACAAGTTTCCCGTGGCCGGGAGAAAGTAGCGACAGGTAGTGGACACTCCATTAGCCGTGGTGATCGTCCAGATTCTCTCACTGTCACTGTAGCGTGCGGACGCGACTCGTGTACCAAATTCGATATACCTTCGCAGATCGTAGCGGTCTGCCTCGTTGTTAGCTCTATAGGTATCCTTTGCCTTTGCGCTAGCGCAGTCCCAACTGACCCACAACACGACCCAAGTATTGTTGAATTTCTTCCTGTGTCGGATATCTTTCTTTAAAGTTCCATTCCTCGAGCAAGTCCGGGGTAAAATTGAAAATGTAAACCCAAGCCTCGCCATCCGTCCGGGACCCGGGATAGCGATTGTAGTACCAGGTTCCTCCTACATCTTGTGCCGCGTCGAAACACTTGACGGACTGGCCCCGGTTCCGTAATTCCCAGAGGGACCTGATACCGCTGAAGCCGGCACCAATGACGATCGCGTCGTAATCTATCCTCTTGTGCGGCATGATGAACTATCCGAGAAGAATACAAGGTGACATTTACCATGTTCGAGCATAGTATGTGAAAACCGACATGTTTTGAATCCGCTCGTTAGAGCGGTTACTACCGAGGGTCCTTCGGTATCGGGCGAATACTAGTCAATCCGAAGGATTCTAGGTCCTGGTTGGGACTTTTTGCCAATTCGGTGGTTCGGACCTACCCAGATTTGGGAATCCACCTGTCATGCAATCCATCGGACCGAACCAGTCGGCCCTGCATCGGTCCTTCGATGGGCTTATACGCCTCCGGCCGGACGCGTTGCAGCTGCAACAATAAAGGCCCCGTGAAGGGCAACTACACAGATCGATGGACCTCCAAAAGTACCCAATCATGACATGTCTCTTCATTACCGATAATGCTCCTCAGATGGGTGTCGCCTTCCTCCGCGTGTCGCCGCTCGTCATTTCGTCTGCGTCCCTCATGTTCAGCTGGGCGCAAGACATCTCGCTCGGCGCCTTCCTGCATCCCTCGCTGCGGAAGGATCCCGCCCACCCGAGCGGCAAGATCCTACCACGATTCCTGCCGGCATTCATGAAACCGGGAATTTGGGGCATTGGATTAACGTACCCACCAGCCACCGTGCTCTGCCTAGTGAACGGGTTCAGCGGCCAAAGCTCGGAGATCCGTCATCTCTACTTCGCCGGTGCGTTGTTCAGCATCGCTCATTTCTGCTGGGGGCCGTCCATGTTTGCCATTCTGCGACGCATTCAGGATCCTACGATGGCGGGGGTCCCTAACGAGAGCGCCCTCGAGACGTGGTTGCCCCGGCATCACAGCCGGACGCTCTTGGTGAATGTGCCAGCGTTCTTGTGTATTTTTGCGGCCACAGTGGCGACCCTCACGGAGGGGTTGAAGTAATCATGCTACATCCCCTGTGGATTGCTGTTCGTCAATGCCCTGGAATTTACGTACAGTGAGCAATCCCATGTGCATCATACAATAATAGAACTTTCTGTCCCTTCCATAATCCCATTAATCTTCAGAAAATGTACAACGCATGGATGGATGGATGGATGATGTCATTTAGAGACCCTGACCCCTCGCAAATTTGAAAGCGATATGCAGGCCACCACAACTATATCTATCCTTGTGTATCTATTTACAATGTACCATTTCATGCGGACAATCTTTGAGCCTCATCACGGCCTACAGTGCGTAGGACCCTCAGTAGAGGGCAGTCCACCAGAACATAAACAACCATTTCTTTCACCCCGCACTCACATTTATCGTCCTGAAAGCGATAGAGTTCCCCGTAAGACGCCAGCCATGAATAATCAGTCCGCAAGTATATTGGTAAATATGCTTAACTTCTTAACAGCGAGATGTATAGAGGGGAGCGTGCTGTCAATCCCGCGCAAATGTTCGCCTTTTTTAGATAACCTCCATTCTTGTTCCCATTCCTTATAGATCTAATTACGAATAAACCGTTTCTCTCCCGATACTAGTCTTCAGAAGGGATGCGTTCCTTTCAGGCCGACAGCTTCTTTAGCTAGACGATCTGCTATATCAATCCCGAAATTATTAGAGTGGCCTAGAATAGGTCAACAAGGGTTATCGCACCCAGTGGGCTGCGCGGGAGTACTAATCTTAGACTTGTAAGCCGATCCCTATCATTACTTAACAGATTCTATCTCCCATAATTTGTCTAACTGTCACGGTGTCTCTAAATGAGGGGAAGACGATCAGCGGCCAAGAGAGAGGTGCATTTTTGACAGGGGTTCGGTGGAGGCATCTCCTGCGCCGCATTATTGTGGACGAATCTCGAGCCAATTGCCTTCATTCAGGTAAATAGACGCTGCCCGGGTGTGATTGCGATAATTTTACTCCACCCTTGCCTGCCTGATAGCTGGATTTGTTATTTGTCATAACCATTTTGACTTGCGGCGCAGGATGTCATGTCTCGGGGTCAGCGCTGGGGATGGTGGAAAATGGGGATGTTGTTTTCGATCCCCCCATTCATTTTAGCGCCAGGATGGGATTCCTTGTCGCCCTCTGCAGTAGTATGTGGTTGGATTGTTCTGAATTAGTTTATTTAAAATGCTGCAGGCGACCATAAGAACGCGAAATGCACGGCGGACGATCCATCGTCGGTAGCGGCCGAAAAAAATCAATGTGTGGTCAGGATACTATTTGACAGATCCAACCCTTCTTCAAATTCCCTTTGACAGAAAAGAGAAATAAGGGGATAATTCAAAGACACCATGAGTATGCTTGTTCATGATCTCGGGCTGTTGCACAGGGCATGCGACCGCTGTCACGGCCAGAAGCTACGATGCCGCCGGGAGAACAACAGTGAGCCCTGTGTCCGCTGTCAGAAAGCAGGCGTCCAGTGTGCCCCAAGGCCCGTGAGATCCAGACATCGCCCACGGGCACACACAACGCAGCAACCAACAGGAATATCGAATGCCAACCCGACACAATCCCTAGGTAAGCCCGGGTTTTCACTAGCAGATGTTGGAGGACATCTAAGAGCTAACACCTTGGCAAAGTAAATCCACCAGAGCAGACGAACAAAGACGTGCCAGCGGATTTCCATCTCTCCCCTCGAGCTTGTTAGACTTTCCCGCGGACTTGGATCTAGGACTGGACTTTGCGTCGCCGCAGTCGGAAATGGGCAATCCCCTGGAAGCGCGCGATTTGCAGTCCGGAATGGATCTAGGGCCTATTCAGAATCATCCGCAGAGTCAACCCTTTCCTCCGGAGCCACGGAGCTGTATGGGTGGGCGACTCGAACCGGAACATCAGCATGAACTCCACGCCGCATCACAAAGCTCTTATCTCCAACCCTCCACATCCACATTGCTGTCCTACGCCAAACCACCGACCGCACACTCCCAACATCGCTTGTCTCTAACCAGGACAGTGGCTCCCAAAGACAAGAACGGTCCGCCACATGAAGCGAACGAGCTTATGAACTTCGACCATGAGGACGGTACGGCGTTGAACAGCAGCGGTGAAGACACAACAGAGGATTCTGGGTGCGGGCAATCCGTCTCGAGTCGACCATATTCGAACAGCAGTGGCACCCAGAGCTCATACTCGCAACAAACGTCCAAACAGACGGGAGACATGACCTCGTGGGTTCGTAAATTGTCAGACATAAATGTGGAGCTTCATCAGCATATGCTGGCTATTCCGTCGGTCGATGTAGAGCACAGCCCGTGGACCAACTCCAAGACGAGCAACGATCCCAATTTCCCCCAGGAACTGGCAGTAGGTCGCACCTTCAAACTCTCCCATCAGTATACGGAAACTCTCAATGATATCTTCTCTCAATACAAGACCCGCCAGACACATACCGGATCGCCCCCAGCGGCGCTGACACTAGACCAACCCTCCCAGCTGCTGGTTCTATCCAGTTATCTTTGTCTAATCGAGGCGTATGACATGATCTTGCAGCACATCAAAGCATGGACAGAAGTGCGATTGACTATGGGGGGATCGACAGCGGGGGAGCACTTCCCCGTGCAACTACCCAGGCTCGCCATCGGCTGCTTTCAATTACCTGCGTCGTCGTCGACTCGGCCACTAGTCTTGATCTGCATCATCGAGGCCACTATGACACAGATCCACGACCAAATGAATGAGATGATGCGACCTGCCCGGACGATAGGCGAGCAGGGCACCCTGGGCGGTTACGGGCTGAGCGGCGTCGCCAAAGTGACGGTACAGGCAATACGGACTAAAGAAGATTCCACGATGAAACTCCTCCACGTAGTGTGGCGACTGGCGTTGCGATGTGGGGATGACAGGAAACTGGGCGCTGGCGCAGATTAGGTTAGTTATTCGACCTGGCAGAAATATAAAAACGGATTTCCCTTGTGCCATTAGCATTCTGAAAGGTCATAAGTAGGTACAATTCGTCCTGTCTCGATATTGTCAAACTCATCAGAAAAGTCAATCGCTGTCGCTTCGCCTCCTACCAAAGATCCGCCTAGGGCGCCACACTGAGCTGCGCAAACGCTGGATATTCGGGTTTACCATCTTCACCGATGTTCACCACCTTCCCATCGCTCACGTAGGTCTCTACCCACCCGATACTGATCTCGGCATGGATTCCACTAATAAAGGGCTTCTCCTTGGCCTTGAGCACCTGGAACTCCGGGTCTGACGCCCCCTTGTAGAATGTCTCCATGTCGCGGAAGTAATACTCGACCTGGGCGTCGTAGTCGCGGACCACCCAGGGGCTACCCCTTTGGGCGTTCAACTGCGCCGTCATGTCCCGGAAGGACTTCGGAGCGAAATACTACAAAATTATGTATCAGTAGCTAGTCAGACCACGCCGGTGGCGCATCGTACGAGGCACTTACGATCGAAAAACCCTCGATCCCATTCTTGGCATGAACCTTGGCCGCGCTTGCGGCATGTTGCTCGGTCACCCAGCGATGGAAGTCCTCTTCACTGACGTCTGGTTGGCGGTATTGCGCTACTGTCATGCGCAGGAGGCGTCTCTTTTGGATGGGCTCGGCCATGGTGGTAATGGGTCTGACAAAGTTTCGTGGAATGGTGGGAAACTCTGAGCTGGGTATCCCCATTGGGGGATGCAGGGTGGTGTGAGAGCTTTTGTAGCGAGTCCAGGAGGTGGACCGGCACCGTGGTCGGCGTTCGGACCTGATGCAGAGTGCAAGGTTAGATCATCTTGAAACCTTACGCTAGTAAATATCACAGTTAATCGGCGATAATCGCAAATCCGAAGAAGGCATCGTTTACGGAGAGTACCTCATTCCGAAGGGATCGTATTTACTTCCCTTCCTCTGGTGGTTCTTGCGACCTGAAGGAACTACTCCGAGCCAGACCTCTTCAAGCCGGAGAGGTACATGGTGCCCCTAAATGAGCCCGATCCCTTTGGCTACGGCCCATGAGCCTGTGCCGGCCGCTTTTTCGCGGATGTGAGCGTTTACATCACCGTCGTACGACTGCTGGCAGTATTTCAGATCCACAAGGCAAAGGATGCGCACGGGAACGAGATTCCTTTGAGTCGGTGTCGAGCATGGTCAATCGCCCCAAACCATACCAAGTCAAGACCGAGCCACGCAGCGCGTATTACGTAGGCTTTCTGCGCCGCACTGAGGTCGAGCAAGACCCGGTGGTCGGGGATGCATGTCTCCTGAATATACGACGGTGTAAGAGTCCCTCGAACCGGGCATCCATTGGACTGAACCCGTCTTCTTACGCAGGCGCTATGCTAGACTAACGACCTGGGACGGATAGTTATGCCATTCCATTGGAAGTGCATTCAATGAAATTGTTCTATCTCCAGATTTTTCGCTATGCAACCTTAGATGGGCAAAACAACTTCGTTCTATTGAATGTATTGAATTTGTATTTGGAGTGCTCTCAGTCGGGAGAGCCTCGGGAGAATGTGAAGAACGTTCAGTCATCTCGCTCTCACATGCCCTGCAATCACATTGCCATCGGCCTCACTTCCTGGGGACTTTCCTCTCATGATGTTGTTCGATCTAGCCTACGTGCTACCGTGCCTTGAAAATCTCCTATTTCTCTTTAGTTATCGGCTTCATCTGACTAATATTTCCATACTCTACTATGTTATTTAATTCGTATGTACGAGGTGGACTATGCGTTATTGCCGTTGTCGGTCGTGGGGATTGGAATCGGGCCTCCGGGAGAGTCTTCCAGTCTCGCAGTCAAGACCTCGACCCCAATTTCGGTGACCAGCAAGGTGTGTTCTCCACAGATGTTAGCGTTGGGACTCTGTACGTAATATGCATGCTGTACTCACCAAATTGAGCCGTCCGTTTGCCATCCACCGTCACGTTAGTCCAGTCATCGGGCCAATAGATTTCCCGAGGTTTTCCCAGCGTCAGAATGGGCTCGATGGTGAAAGTCATTCCGGGTTTGCACACTCCGGGCACCTTACTCTTTGCATAATGAGGGATCCATGGCGGGGGGTGGAATTCGGTGTTGATACCATGTCCACCCCAGGTCGCGTGGACGCCACAGTTTCGGGAGTTTGCATGCTTCTCAATGACCTTGCCAAAGTCTCGGAAAAGGATGCCAGGCTTCACGAGCTCGATTGCCATATCCAAACACTCTCGTGTCGTTTCCACCACCCGGACTGAGTCAGGATCGGCCTTAGCTCGATCGCCCACATAATACGTTTCGTTCAGATCAGCGTGATACCCCCCGTGATATAAGGAGATGTCGAGATTCAGGATATCGCCATCGAGAAGGATCCGCTGATCTGGAATCCCGTGACAAACCACCTCGTTCGGGGACGTACACAGCGATTTGGGGAAATGGTTATAGTTTAAGGGCGAAGGATAGGCCTGTGTGTGTTAGCAAACATATATATATATCATCGGGGTGTGAGTAACACCTACATCCCGTTCGACGCAAGCCTTGTGGCAGACCTCGTCCAGGTAATCGGTGGTAATGCCCGGCCGGAGCTCTGCTGCGGTGATGTCTAATACCTCCCGAGCTAAACGACACACCTTGCGCATGGCCTCCTGGCCCTTGGCATCGAGAATATCAATCTTCGCCCGGCTTAAGCGCCGTTCCCCCTTTGGGATGCCAGTCTCAGACCAGTCGGGGCGTCTGATCGACTTGGGAAGGGTACGCATCGGAGACAGCGGATAGACCGGTCGAACCGACCCGGTGAAGGAGTAGGTCGGGAAAGGATTGTAAAGTCCGGTAACTGGATCGGGTTCAGAGACAACCTTCGGAGGGATGATTTTGCGGAAAATACCATCCTGTATCTTGCCTTGAGCTGTTTTGTGGACGGTCTTGTGTTCGGCCTAAAGCACGAGCTCAGTCAGCGATCAGATTCCAGCCCCAATCGAATGAGGAAACCCACCCAGTTCTTCTTGAAGCAATCTTGGGAGCAGAAATAGCCATCTTTCATACCCAGCTTCAAACAGGTCGGACACTGCAAGGCTTCCGCATCATTGGCACAGTTGACTCCGAGACACTTTCTCTTCGAGGGCAGTTCGGAGGCGACGTCGCCCATGGTAGTGGCTGGGCTCGGTTCTTGGAATATGGAATGCAACGATCAAACGGAGATTTAGAGGGAGGAAGAAAATGTATGGCTCCGTTTCGCTTTTGCTAGTCAGGGGTCGGTCCATACACAGAATAGTTCGATCGTCACAGAACCAGCCTTACTTGGCTGGGAGAAATTCGTAACCAGCAAAAGTGGCATTTCATTCATGGTGGGAGGGGAGAGACGGGCGGGGAGAGACGCCATGGTCAAATTGGGCAACGGCGCCGAATGCGACGGAAGGGCACGTGATGGAGGAAACTCCGATCCTCAGCTGGCGGGAAGTTTGCCCTGTAGTCCACCCATGGATAGACTGATCATCGACCCGGTGGAGTTCGCATGGGTCCGGCCCGAAATACTTAGTTACTGGTTCCATAGGTATTGGCGAGGCGCAAAGCAATGGGCGCTGACTATTTTCTTTCCCAAAAAAATTCAAACCCAAGTTTATTCACGAGCCGGTCGCAAAAATGGCTGCCACAACCCCCGTTGAGGAGCTCAAGACGCTCAGCGGTGTGTTATGTCTCTTGTTGGACCGCTTCTTCCTAATGTAGTTTAGTGTGTCATCTGATCCACACGGTAGATGCATCTTTAGGAATTCAAGCATCTTTCCCATCTTGATCGCACCGCGATCCTGACATAAAATGAGTATTTTGAAGCTATTTCTGAGCAGGTGTGACTCTTAATCTGACAGCGACATGGCTGTGTTGCCTACTCAATCGGGAGTGAAATGCTTGAATTCTCTATGGAAAGGGGTTGAGCGCTATTGCCAAGCCGCCATATAGGGAAGGCGGACTGAGGCGGCAGCATCGCCAGCAGTTTATTTAGGCCAGACCATGTTTACAGATTAAGTGCGTGGAAAATTGCTGCTATCTATGTTATTTTCTAATTGCAAAGTATATTTTGATCTTGACCGATTTGCAGCTCCGGTGCGGTTAAATGGTGATGCATCCTTTAGGTAGTTTAATTCCCAAGTCAACCCATCATTGACCAATTACTCGAGCCTTATGAGAAAATATAATATCCGAACATTATGTAGCTTTCTTTATAAACTAAATGGAGAGCATACCCACGGATACAGGTCATCCACCCAGACAACATGCTACACGCGTTACCATTGGAGATTCTTTATATGGTTGCTGATTTGGTTCGTCTACCGCCCTCTTCGTTGCTCAATCAGACAGATGCTGATTATATCTTAGCTACCATGGTATACCGTTCGATTGATCAGTCAGGTCTCTACAGGCTTATACGCCATCCTGGTACCTTGACTGTATGAATCGATCTGGTTCCGCGCGGGCTTTGAGTGGGCGCTAAATGATCTTGACATTGATCCGTTCTTCCGACGACATGGCGGTCTACAGATAGCCTAGTTCCTGTAGCACACTAAACGATTCGTCATTGAGGCAAGGTGTCTTCCAGACCCAGGTACCGGGAGGGTTCAAAGCGCACACTGCTTATAGGTAGTACCGGATCAAACCAGAGAATGGCTATTCTCAGTCAATACTCGACCGGGACTAACACATCCGGCAAACTGTGGCATCAGTATATGATGATTCTCGAGCCTCCACTCAGAAACGTCCTCGTGGGCTCAGGTGGCTCGGCTGTGCAAGAAAGGTAGGAAGGTTTGAACCCATGCGGTCTAGGTATTCTCTAGCTAAATATGCAAATCATCCTGTATTGTTTTAGCATCACCGAGCCGAGAGACTCTTACCCCACTGTTGCGACTGTGGGCTACTTCTTTTGTCCCAGTGCTGATCTCCAATGTACGACCAAAAAGCTTCTTCAATCACCCCGAACAGGATAGAACTAGTGCTTTCTTTTCTTTGAGTCAAAAGACGCAACATCATGCGTAGAGCGGCTTTCCTTGGGTGCCAATCGAGATGCCCGCCTCTTCCGGCCTCTACATGAGCCCTGGGCGACGTGAACCGACGTGAACGCCCCGGGCGTTTTTCCGCGTAAATGCTGCAGCACAGTTAGGACATTTTAGTTTAGCGACTGCGCCTGACTTCTCTCGTTGGTGGCGCAATAGGTTACTGAAGGTAGAAAACTGTCGTCCTTTGCAACTACGTTCCCAACATTGAGCTTGTGGTGGACAATTGCGTGGTTGAGCGTTTTGCTCAGTGGGGAATGGGTATGCTGCATAGTTCGGTGAAGGATGAAAAGTTGACGTCCATGGATAATGTGGGTTGCAGCCCGTAAGCATATTTGGAGCCAAAGTATTATAGGGTTACATCAGAGGTCGACGCATTGGTAAGACGAGGTTAGGGTCAAATACTAACCCCATGACGGAACTGGATGTCCAACAACATTCTGGTTGGTTCATTATCGAAAAAGGTCTATCAGTAGTCAGCCTCTTGAGTATCAATTGGTTCACCATTTACATTCGGACTTATGGATCGACAACTCTCTCTGGTTGAGGTGGATCGACCGTTAAACGTCCATTAACGCTGTATAGTGTGGTCAAGCTATGCAGTGGATGAGTAGTGATGGAGAATATGTCATCGCGCTCATGAGTATACCTCAATGGTTGCCGCTGGCTGGGTAGTATGTAGGGTTGCGGAAAGGAACCATGCCTAATAATTCCGGGGCAAAAGTGGGTTTTGCATTCGGTGGTAGCTGGTTGCACCCAATAGGATAACTGGATACGGGGAAAGCATTGTAGAGTGGCGGTCCACTCATAGCCAGTGAAGTAGGCTGGGCTGAATGCGACAGCTGCTGGTTGTGATCTTTTGAGTATTAGTTTTTGTGAATTCGCGTTAGAAAGAGCTAACCCATACTAAATGCGTCGTTTTTCATCTACCGTACGGCCCAGAGGGCACCTGGACCAAAGTGGCCTAACGTCGATGGCCGGAAGGCTTGATCGGACGTGTAGACGTGGTGTCCAGGTCAATCAGGTTTATTGGCCAAGGCACCAAGACTGGGACCAAACGTAGGACATGCGTCTAGCCAACGGAATCAGAAGTCAGAGGAAATTAGCCTTGCAGCCACGCTGGCCCTCGATCCATGAATCTCGAACCCACTCTCCGGCAACTGGTGGTCACCTCGACTTAAAATTCGACAGTACCACTGAAACTCCGACACTAACACCCAGCGAACTATTGACTTGCGCGTAGGTATCAACTTGGAAGCGTGCTCCTCCGATTTGTCTTTCCAAGGCATGTGACATCTTTGCCAAGTATCCAAGCTGTCGCTGCTCGTCACCCCACGTTTCCTGTACCACCCCTCACAAAACCCGAAGGCATGTTTTTGACGGCAAAGTATCTTTGTTGGGCTAGAAGCAGACGCCTCTTTCTTTCCTCCTGCTGCAGTAGTGCTCTTTCTAGCGGCCATTCTGTTTCTGTTGGAGATAGGTACAATGGAGAACTTTCCAGAGGTTGGAACGAGGAAAGCCACCACAAACCCGACAGTGATGCTGACGAATACAGGAAATCATCTCTGGGACATTTCAAACAGTTGACTTTGAGACTCTCAAGGCATGCCATCATGTCTGTCGAAAGTGATGTCGAGTTGCTACAGAGTTCTTATTTTGTGGGGTTGTCCGTCACAGAGAAAACCCGGAGCATTTCAGCGCAATCCTTGCGCAAATCTTCTCACGCCTTCTGGCATTGCCTTGGATGCCTTTGCCCGAGCGAAGGAGCCAAGGCAATTCCATATAGTCCCGGGAGGGCATTCTGAACCATACGACAGGCCCCTTTCCCAGCAAAATGTCCCAGTCCAGGCCAAGTTCCTGCATTATCACCTTTCGGAGTAGGCGCTGAGGCTATGGCAGGATGCGCCTTACCCTATTCTTTGCATTTTCAAATTTCATCGCATGGGTCAACAGGAATCACGCTGGCCGCTGATGGATCCACTTGATTTCTAAATACCGAAAATGTTAACTTCGCAGCTGAATTTGATTGCCAAATCATTTACTACTTTGTGGTTCGCGATATTATAGGCTCAATTATGTGCTCCATATAAGACAACTTCCATTTTCAGTCAGTATACGCGCGCAGAAAAATGCCTTACTACACACCCCAGTTTCTTTTCAATTGAATCCTCGCTATCCAACGTCACGGCCGGGGTCAATATTACTTGCTGCACAGTACTCCGTCTTAAATAACCGGACGCAATAGCGCTAGGAATTGTAGTGATGGGCCCATAGGTATTAGATCAGATCTTCACGTTTGCAGTGACCTAATGCAATGTTAGGATGCGTGGATGCCAAAAAGGCATTCCTTCAATTTGTACAAGGTACAGTATAGTAACTCTACGTGGAATCCTCTCCTGTCTTAAAGCTCAGCCCGTGGCTATCGTACGCACATGCCTGTTTAGACCACAGGGTATTGTCCTCAATTATTCTACAGGAAGCCAGGATCCCTTCAGTCTCGGTATCACGCGACATCCGGAACAAGCTTCATTACTCAGTCCAAGATAAGAGCAAACTAAAAAGCAAACTTACTTTCAAAACTGCACTATTCATGGAATAGTGCTACCTACCCTCACACCGTTTCTACGGCTTGTATTAAGATCCACTGAGCGAACTCTTCACAGACTTGCGTAAGAATATGCTTGCCTACACAGACAAGATTCTGCTGGCATCAAGTGTAGACTCAACCAGAGAGTTGCTGCTGCTGCACTAACGCTGCCGCTCGTTTCAAGTCTTCGACTCCCTTCAGCACATTCCTTGGTATCCCATCGTAGTTCACCAATCTCATCCATGCACCCAGAGACTTGATGCGACCGGGATGGATTCTATCCAGAAGAGCCATATTTCTGCGCTCAGCACGGCCTTCTCCCCAATATCTCCACCAAGCTGAAAAATTTCGGCGCCACGACATAGTTGATTCATCCCTGATAGCATATGGACCAGCAGCAAAATTCGCAGGAGCGTTCGGAAAAGGTTCGGCCATGGGTAGGTACTCCTCAAAGCGTACGAACCTGTGGACTCCTTTCTTCCCTGTCACCTCCGTGAAAACGGCAGCTATGTCGGCAAAACTGACTTCGTCTGTTGCAACTTTGAGGTCCAGCCCTGCGGATTCCTCGGGATTGTTCAACAGCCAAAGAGAATAATGTCCAATATCCTCCAGAGCTATGAGGGGTATTTTGCCGGATTCTGTCCGACAAAAATTCATTGGTCAGTCACAGCTGGGTTCCCATTTAACGTACTGGTGGAGTATAGACGTACTTGCCGGATTAGCCCAGACAAATGTCCCATCAGGTTGCTGGGTAGGGACAAACATGCCATCCCAAAGCATGTTCATGTAAGGGCCGGTGGTAAGCACTGAGCTTTTCATTCCATCCTGCCCTTGGGCCAGAATATATTCTGCCACTCTGCCCTTGGAGTCATTATGACCCCAGTGGTAATCCTCATCCCAGTTAGCATGCTTAAGGGCGAAGTCGGTGCAGGCGTAGATGTAATGCTGCACCCCCTGATACCTTGCGATTTCATATGCTCGACAGCCATAGAACAGCTCATTTTTCTCCCCGAGGGTGAAACCATCGGTGTTAACCCATGCTCCATAAACGCCCTTGAAGGCTCTATGCAAATCTTCCTGGCTATCCTGTCGGCCTTCAACCACGGACACATTCGGCAGCTTCACAATTTCTTGCGCCCGAGCAGACTTTGCATCTCGAGTGAGGACCCGGACGGAAAATTTTTTGCTGGAGGAAAGGGCTATGATATAACAGTCAGGTATGAGCAATAACGAGAACAAAACGATAATTTAATACGCACCTTTGACGACTGGCAGGCCTTGGGCGCCGGTGCCGCCAATAACTAGAACTTCTCTCATTTTCTTTCTGGGAAGCGTTGGCAATTGTAGGGGCGTGTTATTATGAGTTAATCCGAAGAAATAATTACACTTCGCGATCTAGAGGATGCACTCTATGCCTTATATATTCGTTTTCCCCAATGGTTGTCCCCGCTGACGAGGATAAGCTTACTCATATTCGGCCATTCCATTGTATTACCGATAAGTAACCTCCAACGCTTCCCAAACTCAGGTCGAAGTTTGCGTATGCTCAAACCTTGTCCGAAGATAGTATAGTCGTGTAACTGGCAATGCGACTGTGCATGAGATGAATCGGTCCTGTTGATTATTTGATCCTCCGATCAAATCAATCTCATTCAAACCATCCGTGGGAATCCCTGTCCTCAAAGACGTAGGCATCGAACAACCTTCCTGGAAAAATCGGCAAGCCCAGGCTCTCATCTCGGCATGATTATTACCTAATCCGGTGCCCTGAGAAACTAGTTACGTTTCTTCGCTTGAGTCCCATTAGAAACTATGGATCCACATCTTAACGTGCATCTGTCACAGTGATCTAAATAGGTGGAGTACGTCACTAATCATGACAAATTCGAGTAGGTTGAAAACTTTCTTGTCCTCAAGATACCGGACCGGGTGGATTAGTGATCGCGTAGATTAGTGATCGCGTGCGAGTCCAAGGACTGAACTGTGGCCGCGGAAGATGACTAAACCGCTTATATCATCGCCTTACATGCGAACCGATCTACATTAATCGTATGATTTATGACGATCCTGAAGCCCCTGAGATTGCATAAATATCGGCTTCTTTATCGTGTTGTTAGAAGAATTAAGACCTTCATTCATTTGAATATAACTCAGTTGAATAATCACTTCTTCGGTAGACCCACATATTCCACATGAACTTATTTCAAGATTCAGTGGACAATCTGAACCGGTCAGTGATTTGATGGAGATATATATCAAGCTCTCGTGTCGCAGGAGGATATAAGATCGCCATCACGTTAGAAGGCTTTTTTTTTTTTTACATTCCATTACAATCATAACCAGCCGAACATTTGGGTCTGCTTATTTGTTGTCCGATTGAAAATGGCAAAGTGGGAGCATCTTCTTGATAATATACCCGCGGATCTTCCCAAAGATAAGCCTATCTTTATGCTCAACCTTCTCCGTTTCTACGACCAAGCGCACTATCCGAAAGGAAGCAAACATTCTCCCTGCAGTGGCCAGGAGGCCTGGGTTGCCAGATATGTGACTGAATTTCGAAGACTTGCAACCGAAGCTGGGGGCTTCGAATTGATCTACCTTGGGCTTCCCGCATCAAAGATTGTTGGTGAAGACGGTGAAAAATGGGACGCGGTGGTGTTGGTCAAATACACGAACATCGAGACCTTCCGCAAGACGCTCGGCAGCGATGACTACGCAGCAATCGCAGCGGAGCATCGGGATGCTGCGCTCAAGGATTGGAAACTAATTGCGTCGACCCAGGTTATCATTCCAGAGTGACGAAGTCCTTTGAGCTGGATGCCTGGGTCACCACAGAGATGCAGGCAGTGGAGAGTCGTACTCTTTTGGATTGGAAAAATCAACACCCGCGATTTGTTACGTTGACTTGGTTGGGGTTTTCCAGCCGCGGAATTTGTGGATGAAGATGTTCGTCGATATCAAGGAATCTTTCAGACTCGAATCTCTATACTATCGATAGAGGGCCTATTTACTTTGATCCCTCGCAAGCAGGTGAAATGCAGTTCGGTTATAACCATGCCTACTACGCAGCAATCAATTTCCTTGAAGACCCAACTTTTCACCCAGTTATAGACCACTTTATAGTGTACCTTTGACTCTCTGGCTGGCGCAGCGCATGATTGGATTCGTCTTGCGGAGGTACGATAGTTATCTTTAGGTTCGCTGATGAAGACCCTAGTCTGATGGGGTCATCGAACCAGTTGTTTTCAGGCCAGACACGCAAATTGTTAACCAGGAAGCACCCTCTCTCTAGGCGTAATTGCTAGTAATGTACCCTTAGGAATATCGAATGATGAAGGTCTGATTCTTTCAATCTAGCGGCGAACGGTGGATTAAATACATGAAGAATGATAAGCAATCTAGCCTAAAAAGGCAGCTAGAAGAGACATAACTTTTGAGCCGTGGAAATATCAGAAAAATCTGCATAATCCTCGGGGATCGGTTGTTACCAATACCGATGTCCGGAATAGGAAGGTCTCCTATGTGACTAGCGGTCACATACGGTTGACAATAATCAAGTACGCGTGGTTGCATATATTAGGCTCAGAATTATGGTTAAGGCCGGTGTTGAGAATTTTCCATGAAGATGATCGACTATTCTAAACAGAACTAATCAACTGCAGCTTGCGCCATGACAAACAGTGCCATCTCCAACAACCGAAGGTACAGAGGATTATGGGCAACCCATCAGACCACCACTATGAAAGAGATTGCAAGTGATCCATCGCGGGCAATTTCTCTTCCACATATCGGAATTCGCATCCCAGGCTAGCTTAAGCACTAAGCGCCTTCCCACCTGACGGGCTTGTTTTCCTTCGCCCAAATCTTCTCCGCATCACTTCCAAACGGAGGAGGAACTAGTCCATTGACCCGCCATAGTCTCCTTTCAGTTTCATCGACATGGAATTCCCAATCATAACCTCTATCGGCAACATGAGGCTTCAAGGCTTTTTCAATCGCGTTACATGTAGAGTTGTAAACGTTGTCCTCATTGTCGAGCCGAACAGCAATGTGTTCGGCAACAATTCGAATAAACGGGTTTTCCGTTCTGTTTTCAGCACCGACCCAGGTGTCTCCGGGTGAAAGCTTAATAAAGTTGATGACCACATAGAACGCAGGGAGGCCGATTCGGGTGTATATTTTCGTGACGTCTTCGGTCAAAGCTTTCTTCGAAGCGGTGTCCTCGAAAGTGCCAGTTGGGTGAAAAATGAGCCAAAGAGGCATGTTGGGTATTTGGTTATAAGCTGAAAGGAATCGCAGTAATTTTTTTCAAGTAGAGGATGTCAAACGCTGAACAAATATGTAAGACTTTCACGCCGCTCTTAAGCATTATAAATATAGCCGAGCCCACCTCAACAGAGATTCTAATTCTCTGCATCACCTTAAGTGATCATTACTAGACAGTTCTCTGCAAGGCCAACGGCATGCGCCCATACACGACTAATCTTCCCGGCTCCACATAACTAAGATGCCGAATACGTTAGCCACCGACTTTCCGGCGGAATACCAATACGAGCCCAGTAAGAGATGTTATCACAATTCATTTTTGTAGAGAACTCTTTTAATGTGTGGTAAATTGAAAGCTGTTTATTAGTAAACATTCACTCGCTTGTTAGTGAGGATGTTTAGGACGTAAGTCCGACTATCTCATATAGCAATTTTCATAAAAGTAGACGAGGAAATGCTCTACGAGCCTGGGAGCGCCCAACTGTAGTTGATTAAAGATTCTCGCGCTCACTGACTTACTTCCTGGCTCACGTTACAAAGTTGAGAATTCAAATACCTAGAAATACATGGATACTTGGGAGTGGGGTTGTCGGATAGATCAGTAATCGGATCGACGTCCGGTTAGTGTTAGTTAGATAAATACCCCGGAACAGCCGGGAATCACGTTATCATTTCATGATTGGTCATATGGCTCGAATAGTTAGTTAGTTAACTAACTACCTCGGGGTATGGCGTCACGATTATGATTAATAACCTATTGATCAATAATCATCCTGTTCTGAATCACCAGATTATACGTTTCAGTAGGTATAAAGCTGGAGAGTATAAGATCTGGAACTGAGATCCAGTCAACAAGTAAATAACCCTGCTCGATTATTCAACACACCTTTACATTTGATTAAATCACACATTTTCTCAAGGGCTAGCTAGAGCTATATAATCCCGCCTGAATCTATCCCCGAATTTCCGCATCTGATCCTATCACCATGCCCTCCGGCCTCATCTTTATCACAGGAGCAACGGGCTTCATCGGCAGTGCTGTCGCCATCAAGGCTCTACAAGCTGGCTACAGTCTGCGGATTAGCGTTCGCAAGGAAGAACAGATTCCCAACCTAAAGGCGGCCCTGTCTGAATTTGAAGACAGAATCGACTTTGTCATCACCCCAGATATCACACAGCAGTCTTCCTTTGCCGGAAAGCTAGATGGAGCCAACTACGTGCTGCACATTGCCTCGCCCATGCCCCATGGAACCAACCCAGAGACATACTTTGGCCCAGCCGTTAAAGGCACCACGGCTATCCTGAAGGAAGCTGCTAAGGTTAGCAGCATTAAGAAGGTGGTTATTACTTCTTCAATTGCTGCTTTAACACCTCCCTCGGGTCTTCCCGAAGGAGGAGTCATTAAAGGTGAGCCATCAGAGCTGGATGCAGTCTTTTGTCTTGATTGTTTTAGCTAGATGCTGACCGCATCCGACAGAGGACAATGACTGGGACTTGTCGGTCGACCAGACTGCCGACTTCACTGGTGCTAATGATGAAGCTACGGGCATGAGTCTCTACCACGCCTCTAAGCTCCTTGCAAATCAAGCTAGCTGGGACTTCAAGAAGACCGAGAACCCTAGTTTCTCCCTCGTGACCATCCACCCTGCCTTTGTGTATGGACACAACCCCCTCCAGACCACTGCCGAGGAGCTGAGTGGCACCAACGCCCTTTTCTTCCTTACCGTTGCCGGTGGGAAACCACTGGTCCCCATTACTGCTGTCCATATCGACGATGTTGCCGAGGGCCATGTCAAGGCCTTGGCCGACAATATCCCGGACGGGTCATCGTACTTACTCGCTGGGAAGAAGGCCTTTTGGAGGGACGTGGCAGCGATTGTGAAGAAGGAGTACCCGCACCTTGGGTTCAAGATCTCAGAGGAGATTGCCGGAGAGTCTTGGCCCGTTAATACGACCAAGGCCGAGACGGAATTGGGGATGCACTGGCGGTCGTTGGAGCAGATGACGAGGGATGTTATCGACCAGCAGATCGAGCTGCGCAGTCAGGCTAAAATCTGAAAAATGTCCATATAATCATAACATTTATAAAATAATGAATGATCACGTCGTATCCATGGACTGTTCGGCTTTGGTGCCCACTAAGGAACAATGCAGTTACTGATACCCGGTTGGAAACCAACAGACGCCCCTGTATTTGATCCCGAAAGGAAATTGGACTTCAGCAAAAAGAATGGCCGTCTAAATTGGCTGCTGAAGACTCGTCCTGACATCAAGTTCCCCGTATACCGCGTTCTACGCAAGAACATGGCTCCCAATGAGAACGATATGAACGCGACGCTAACCATATTCAGGTTCTTGATAAAAAATCCCGAATCTGATCTCGTTTTAGGACGCGATCCCGAAGGTCCCCTATACGGATATATCGATTTATCCCATGCAGATTGCGAGAAATCCCGCTCCACTGAGGCGTTCATCTTCTTCTACAGAGGACCCCCAATCTTTTGGCAAAGCAAGAAGCAATCGATCGTGGCCCCTATCTCGTCTATCGCTGAATCTATCGCGTGGGACGCTACAACCAAACAGGCCATGTAGTTGAAGAAACTAATTGAATCGGTAGATAGAAGCATTGATTATCCCGTACAGATTTATACTGATTCCGCCAATGCCCTGTCCCTGATCAAGAAACTGTACTATTCTCTATCACTCTGCTGGCTTGACATTCGCTACTTTTCGCCAAGGATGCAATCACCGATAAGATCGTAGAGTTTTCATACGTCAATACCGACGATAATGTGGCCGATGGCCTCACTAAAGCGCTCGCCGGACCGAAGTTTGACCGTTTTCGCACTAAACTCTAAAATGAAATGGACGCTGATTTCGATCGTTCGATTTTTATTGCATTTTTGAACGAATCGGGCAGTTTAGACGGTTTAAACAATTTGAGCGTTTTTCGCTGCTTTCCGCAGCTATAGGAGGGTGTGTTGGACCGCTTCTTCCTAATGTAGTTTAGGTAGTGTGTTATCTGATCCACACGGTAGATAGCTCTCTCGCAGCTACGCTGCATCTTTAGGATTTTTTGGTTCATGAAGGTTTCGTATTGCCTAGTAATTTGTATGCAGAATCGAAGCTCAATGAAGGTCTGATTATCTTGATTTAGACGATCGAAACGAAGCTATTTAAAGTGCAATATGACTACGTGGCTTCTTTGAAATCGGCTTATCTTGAAGCCATGAAATGCCGTCAGGGTTGATATAGACGGCAAGGGGTAAGGTGTTGAATCCTAGTGGTAAAATTGCCCCATCTCCGCTGACAGGATTCAAGCATCTTTCCCATCTTGATCGCACCGCGATCCTGACATCTCTGATGCACAGTATGAATCTAACGACACGTGCTAATAGAAACTTGTTTAGACAAGGGGAACGGTGAGAACGGAACTGCAAACGCGGATGCCGCAGAGCACTGGGAACGATGCCTTGACCGAAGGCGATGCGATTATCGCCAGCATAGGTTTCCCCACGGGCTTGAACCTCGATGGCGTTACGGCCCACTACAGCCCCAATGCAGGCTGCAAGAAGGTGCGTCAACAGAACAATGTCATGAAGGGAGACATCAGTGTTCGGGTGAATGGTCGGATCTTTGATAGTGCCTTTACCATGGCATTCGATTCGATGTATGACAACCTCCTCCCGCCGTCAAGGACGCCATCAACACGGGTCTCCGCGAAGCAGGAATTAATGTTCGCCTCCGCGAGCTTGGCTTTCGGCGTACGGACTACTGTAGTACTGTACCTTTGTTTCGGTGCCAAGTTCCCACCTTCGGTATCAAGTACTGTAGCGGGTGGATCGCGAGCACTAAAATAGGTGAAAGGAGAAACCAAACGGAGAACATGTGATGACACTAGCTCGCAGACATTCCAGGCGACCTGTTTAAGACCAGCCCTGTCCGATAGACTTTCTCAGCTACCAACCTTGCCCAGCAGTGAACATTACAGCACTACATACAATGGATAATTTTATGGACATGACGAAGAAAGCTGGTCACACGACCGAGCTGGAACGCCTGGCTGCCCTCCACGCGACATACTATGATGCCATGGATGGCAAGCTTGTCTTGGCACCTCTCGACCTCCAGGAGACGGGAAAGAAGATCCTCGACTGCGGCACCGCGGACGGTTAGCGGCCCTCCTCCAACATCCTGATGAATGTCGACTGATATTGGTTTATAGGTATCTGGCTTCGCGACGTGCGGAACTCGGCCTTAGCCGAACACCAGTACTTCGGCAGCGATATCGAGCCGGAGCTCTTCCCTGAGCAACCCGACGGCATTACATACTTCCCCCAATCTTTCAGCGAGCCATGGGCCGACGAGCACAAAGACGCATTCGACCTCGTTCATGTCCGAGGGAGCCTGGCGGGCTCCAGCCCCAAGAGGCCCGTCGATGTGATCAAGGGCCTTGCCTCCGTGACGAAGCCGGGCGGCTGGGTCCAGCTCATGGAGTTGAATGCGTTCGGCGCCCCCAGCAACGGTCCCGCCATGACCGACTTCGCGCGCATGGCCTCCGAGATCTGGGCCGGGATCAAGGTGGGTGACTTCGCTAATGAGCTGAAGTCCATGTTGGAGGAAGTGGGCCTGCAGAACGTCCAAGAGAAGAGAGTCATCGTTTCCTTGGGGAAGAAGGCGAAGCCCGAATTACATTCCCAGAGTATTCATGGGGTGACCGGGCCTATTCGGCCCCTGGTGTCGGTCGCGCGGAGTGTGTCAAATTCTTTCACGGATGAGCAACTGTCATCCTTGCCAGACCGGGTGAGGGAGGAGCTGGAGATTGAGGGAGGAAGGGTTGAGATGGTTGTGGCATGGGGTCAGCGTGTCTAGACGGGGATTTCCCTCATGCACTTCACATCGGCGCAGAGAGTTGGACCCACTCCACCAGTGAGATGTCTCATTGATCTAAACTTGCTTTGGATCAAATAATATACTACTATACTCTTCAGCGAACTAACTAACTGACGAAATTTGAATGTCTCTTTCGAATCGCTTTCCCAACCATGAGTATCCCTCAGGGCTACGTGACCATTTACCAAACTACTGGACCAGCTCACGCAAATCAGATTTCGCCTCCAATGGCTCTCTCTCAATCCCAAAATTGGCGTCTAACCACTGGAAGGTTCTGTGCACCGAGTAACCGAACGCACCGATTTTGGCCTGGAGCCCTCCGTGGGCGATGTCCTGGGCGATCCACTTTTCCTTGTCCACACCCGGTGTCAGACTCGTCAGGCAGTCGTAAATCTTGTCGGTGGTGGTTGCCGGGTCAAAGTACCAGCTTGCTCCAGCGCCAGTGACCAACGTGGGACACTTTACGTTGGCAAGATACTCGGTCCCGTCTGGGTTGAGTAGTGTATAGTCGCCGAAACTCCGCATGATGTCGGCCTCGGTGGTAGTGCCGGTGGCCCACTTTAGATGATTGAGCTCCCATCGCGCTTGGAAGTCGAATCGCTGGAGAGACCGCAAAATGCCGTTGAAGACCGCGTCGGGCAGCCAGCCGTTCATGAAGCCGTGGAAGAGGGGCCCGGGCATTCTGCCGCCGACAAAACTGGCTAAACTGTAGAATCCGTCGACGCTAACGCAAGCCTTGATCCGGGCGTCGGCGGCCGCACGCAGGGCAAAATATCCCCCCATCGAGGCCCCGGTGACAGCAATGTGATCCAAGTCGAGCTCCAGCTCGGGATGGCGGGTGGCGAAGTCAAAGAGGTGATCCAAGACCGCACTGGTGACAACTTCCCAGTCTGGGCGCATCGGTAGCTTGTCGCGACGAAGCACAATTCCCTGACCGGGTCCTTCGAAGGTGACCACGGCATACCCGAGTTCGGGCCCAAATGCCGGGTTGACAAAGTAGATCTCCTCTTGTGTCGAATCGCCTCCCCCGGAGTTTAGTAGGATAGGAATCTTGCGACCCGGAATGCGCCTGGCAGGTTCGGGCAGGTAGAGGTAGCCGGGCAACTTGAGCCCATCTTCGTACGGTATCTCCAGAAAGAACGTTCTCCCATCGCGATATTGGACACCCTTTCGAAAGTTTGCAATAGCGCGCTCAATACTCGGAAGAACGCGCTGGTCGTTCCCGATCGGGCCCTCGTTGAGCATGAATTGCGCCGCGCGGATGTAGTTGGAGGACCGGAGGTAGGCACGACGTGCGGATACACGGTCGCCTGCTTGTTCGGCCTCCTGAGCGATCTCTTCTGCCTTGTTACCGGCATCGAGGAAGGCGCTGAACCACGATTCCGGTTCGAGATCCTTGATTTTGGCGGCTGCTTCGAGGGCCTCACCGATCTCGGCGCCCTCGTGGGGCGCCATGGCGAGAAGGCGAAGGTACTCGAAGTTGAAGAAGGGGGACTTGAAGAAGGGATGCATCGTCGCCATGGTTAAGACTTGAGTACAAGGTCAGACTCAGGGACGGCGACGGCGACCAGAGAGCGATTACTCACAGAGTACGAGACCTTTCGCAGAAAATACCGTGTTCGGCCGTCCGTACAGTGATAGGATTAATGTTGAATATGGCAATATGGATGAACTCCGACTGGACACATTAGAAGAGGTTTTCTGTGGATGATTACCCTGCTGTGCTCAGATTCGGCACGACAAAAGCACCGGATCCGAATCATTCGGTACCTTGACCTTTTGGCCTTCGGCTAAACCGCCGTCCCACCATGACCTTTATTTACTTCGATGACCAAGCCAGGGTTAGACCTATGCACTACACCTAATTTCTCATTTGTCGCCGTTCGCCATCAAGCGTAGGCAGATCTACCATGGCATACACACATTCGCCAAAAGAACCCATCGCTATCATTGGTAGCGGATGTCGGTTCCCGGGGGACTCAACCTCCCCATCAAAGTTCTGGGAGTTGCTGCACTCGCCGCGAGATCTATCGAAGAAGATTCCTTCAGAATCACGATTTAACGCCGACGGATTCTACCACCCCAATGGCGAGCGCCACGGGAGCAGCAATGTCACCAAGTCTTATTTCATCGAAGAGGACCCACGACTTTTTGACGCCGGATTCTTCAGCATTGCCCCCCGTGAGGCCGAGGCGATTGACCCGCAGCAACGGCTCCTGCTCGAGACTGTCTATGAAGCGATGGAAAATGCAGGACTCACCCTACAAGGGCTCAAAGGCAGCATGACCTCCGCCTATGTCGGCGCGATGTCAGCAGACTATACGGATACCCAAACACGGGATATTGAGAATTTGTCCCAGTACATGATCACAGGAACGTCACGCGCATTGCTCTCGAATCGCTTATTGTACTTCTTTGATTGGCATGGCCCATCCATTTCGGTCGACACGGCATGCTCGTCTAGTTTAGCCGCGGTCCATCTCGGTGTTCAAAGTTTACGAAATGGCGAGTGTACAGCTTCTTGTGTGGCAGGGTCTAACTTAATTTTGGGACCGGATGCATATCTTGCGTCCACGAGTCTCCATTTGCTCTCGGCCACCGGAAAGTCTCAGATGTGGGACCAAGGCGCAGACGGATATGCCCGAGGTGAAGGCATTTGTGCTTTCTTTATGAAGACACTCTTTCAGGCTCTTCAGGATGGAGACCGGATTGATGCAATCATTCGAGAGACCTGCGTCAATTCGGATGGCCGTACGAAAGGTATTGCGCTACCAAGTGCGGAGGCACAGGCCGCGTTGATTAGCGCTGCCTATAAGAATGCGGGACTAGACATCTTGAGAGCCGAGGATAGGCCTCAATACATTGAGGCACACGGTAAGTTTCCATCTGTCTGCCAGCCTTGTCTCTGCAGGATCACCAAACTCGTGCTGGGCTGGGATAATCTGACTGATGATTGTGCAATGTAGGAACTGGCACCCAGGCTGGAGATCCTAGAGAGGCGTCTGCTCTCAGCCAAACGTTTTTCCCACCTGGCCACAACCATGATGAGAGACCTTCTCTGGTTGTAGGGTCCGCGAAGACAATCATTGGACACACAGAAGGAAGTATGTAGTTCGACCTGTTACACATATCAGAGGCTAACTTCGGGCACTGCAGCTGCCGGTATTGCGGGAATGTTGAAGACATTACTTGCGATGCAACACAAGACAATTCCGCCCAACCAGCATCTTCATAACCTGAATCCGAGCGCGAAGCCTTTTTATAAGAAGCTGCAAATACCCACCACTCCGCAGGAATGGCCCCAAGTCCCTCAAAACCAGCCGCTTCGGGCGAGTGTCAACGGTTTCGGCTCCGGCGGCACCAACTGCCACGCGATCATGGAAAGTTACGTTCCAGAAGTTCATGGCCATGGTCCATGGGGAAGACCAAAGGCGATCTTTGAGTTCCAGCCTTCCGTTGCAACGGATATTGATTTCACCCCGACCCCTCTTGGTTTCTCAGCCAGTTCCGAATCGTCTCTGGTCGCAATGCTGGAGAAATATGCGCACTACCTGAAGACTACCGATGTGTCTATTCAACGTCTGGCGATGGCCCTAAGCTTGCATCGTTCAACCCTTCCAGTGCGAGTTGCCATCACAGGGTGCTCGAAGCAAGACGTACTAGAAGCGATCAACAAACAGCTGGCGAAAGTCCGCGAGAACCCTGGTACAGCCATAGGCACCCGGCCCCCCGTCATAGAATTCGATGAGAACAGACGGCCCCGGATTCTAGGTGTGTTTACGGGACAGGGGGCACAATGGCCGGGTATGGGTCAGGCTTTAATGAAACGATGTGCCTTGTTCAGAGAAACAATAGAGGTCATGGAGCAGGCACTGGCACAGCTTCCCGATCCACCGAAGTGGTCTCTCAAAGAAGAACTAATGGCACCACCCGGCAAGTCTCGTCTAAGCAAAGCCGAACTATCCCTTCCTATCTGTGCAGCGGTTCAGGTAGGGCTTGTTAGTTTGCTCTCTCAAGCAGGCATCACATTTCACACCGTGGTTGGCCATTCGGGTGGTGAAATTGGTGCTGCGTATGCTGTCGGGAAGATCTCTGCGGAGGACGCGGTGAAGATTGCTTATTACCGCGGCATCGTCTGCAAACTAGCCAATGGGCCATATGGAGATCGGGGAGCAATGATTGCTGTCGGATTCGGTTATGAGGAGGGGCTCAATTTCTGTTCATCTGCTCAGATGAAGGGCCGTTTAACCGTAGCCGCTAGTAATTCGCCCAAGAGCGTGACACTTTCTGGCGATGAGGACGCGGTCCTTAAGGCCAAGCAAATGCTCGATAATGAAGGCCTGTTTAATCGTGTGCTCAAGGTAGACACCGCCTACCATTCATCTCACATGTTGCCGTGTGCCGAGCCCTATACTGCTCAACTCAAAACCTGCAACATCCAGGTAGGAAAGGGCAATGGTGTCACTGCCTGGGTATCAAGCGTCTATGAGGACAGCAGAACAATTACTGATGTACAGGATCCCGATATGCGGGGAGCATACTGGACAGATAATCTGATTGGACGAGTTCTGTTTTCCCAGGCACTTGAGGCCGCGGTCGATGATGGTAGAGGAGCCCTGGATCTCATCCTTGAGGTTGGACCACACCCAGCCTTGAGAGGGCCGACACTGGAGACGATGAGGACCAAGCTTGGCTACGAAGTCCCTTATTCCTGTGTATTAGACCGAAAGGCGGACGACATTACGGCGTTCAGCAACGCTTTAGGCCTTGTTTGGACACACCTGGGCTCTGCTTGTGTCAACTTTGCCGGCTACCTATCTGCATTTGAGGAGGATAATTGTCAAGTAGATGCGACTCCTTTGTCGGGTCTACCCACCTATCCATGGGATCACAAGCAGATCATGTACCGGGAATCCAGACTCAACAAACAGGTCAGACACCGAGCGGCCCGGCCTCAGGAGCTGCTTGGTAGCAGAACTCCGGATGACACAGATTGTGAGCCGAGATGGCGGAACATCCTTAAGACGGATGAGATGCCATGGTTACGCGACCATTGCATCCAGAATCAGATCATTGTGCCGGCAGCTACATATTGCGTTATAGCCCTGGAGGCTGCTAGGACCCTGGACAGAGGAAAGCAAGTGGAAAGCATAGAGCTTTTGAACGTGGCCATCCTCCGACCAATTGTCTTAGATGAGTCTTCTGACGGAACGGAGACTTTGTTCTCTCTGCGCAGTGATATCGACTCTATCAAGGGCAAGACTGAGTGTATCCGAGCGGAGTTCAGTCTCAGCGCGGGTACAGTGGAGGATGGACAAATGAGGACAGCTGCCACTGGAGAAATACGTATTTCCCTCGCCAGCGAAGATTCTAACTCCGTGGGCTTGTTTCCTATCAGATCCCACAAACCACAGCATGAGCTGTTGTCCGTCAACGTGAACCAGTTCTATGAATCCCTCAGTCGAGTTGGCTTGGGTTACAGCGGGCCGTTCAGGGCCATAACCTCTATGGAGAGACGGATGGACATGGCATCCGCTGTCATCGCGATCGATGAGGAACTGGGAAGGTCAACTCCGATCCACCCGACTTGGCTTGACGCATGCTTCCAGACGTTCCTTGCAGCATATGCCGCTCCTCGAGATGGTGGGTTATGGACAGCGTTCATGCCTACTACAATCGGCCGCATGACCTTTTCTCCGACGCCAAACATCACAGGCTCGGTGACCGTCGACGCGCGCCTTACCGAATTTACACTAGGGTTCCAAGCAACCTTGCCAACCATTAATGGCGATATGAGTATCTACAACTCTAAGACCGGCCAGTTAGAAGTGCGCATCGAAGATTTTACAATGAGCTCTTTTCTTCCCGCTGGTGACAAGGACGATAGAGTATTGTACTTGAAGACGGTGTGGCAGCAAGACATCCTCTCGGGGGCTGCCTTCGAAGCGGAGGAGCAGAATCCTCCTCCCCGTGAGATGAAGCTCATTGATGCCTGTGAAAAAACGATTCACTATTACCTATCGGAACTTAGTATGGACATGTCCTTCTACGACCTGGCCGACAAGATCCCAGGTTTAATGTGTTTGATTGAGAAGGCAGCAGCCCGTGATGCGAGCGAGCCAACGCAATCTGAGCTGGTTTCCATCATGGAAGATTTTGGGAAGCACATAGATATGCTGCTTATTAAGGTAATCGGCGAGAGGCTCTTGAACAATTCCCCGGTCGGCACGGAAGCACCGGCATCGCTGAGTGAGCTTGTCTCCCGTTGGCACAATGAAGGGATAGGCTTCGCCCAAGTTCACAAGCATATGTTGAGCGCAGCGAAACAAATTTCTCACCGGTACCCACGTCTAAGAATTCTCCAAGTCGGACCATCTTCAGCCAACCTTGTACGGTCTGTATGTCAAGAACTTGGACAGGCTTTGGATTCATATACTATTGTGGATGGGTCCGCGGACGCTATCGGGGAGGTCAAGGCATACTTATCTGCGGATAATCTGAGAGTTGAATTCAAAACCTTCGACGTTGAAAACGGAATCGAAGAGTCAGACACTATCTCTCCCGGCTCTTTCGACTTGATTATTGCTCACAAGGCCTTCACCAAACAGAGAACGGCGCTGACAACGATGCGAAGCCTGCTTACACCAGGAGGCTTTCTCCTGATGATGACTGCAACTGGAGACCAGCTTCGTTTTCCCTTCTTCTTGTTGTCGGCTCCACCCCCAGTGCCCGAGGAAGACGGATCCTTCGATCCTCAATTAACGAATGCTAACCGCGAGGAAACACACAGCGTCCTCCAGAATGCTGGGTTTTCCGGGGTAGACTCCATGGCACTCGACAACGTTCCAGAGAAGCACACATTCTCTGTCATCTTGTCGCAGGCAGTAGATGATCGCATTAGGTTCTTGAGATCTCCACTTGCATCAGCATCAAACATCGCTATGAGTGGAAAACTCCTTATGTTGGGTGGTTCCTCACCCAAGGTCGCCAATCTCATCCAAGATATTCAGACCAAGCTATTGCCCGTCTGGGATGGAGAGATTATTGCTGTCGAGTCTCTTGCGGACGTGAACGATCAACTAATTGACAATCCTGAAACTGTTCTTAGTCTGACAGAACTGGACCGCCCCGTGCTCGAGCAGATTAGCACTGCTACATTTGCAAAACTACAGCTGCTGCTGGAAAGATCCAAAAGGGTTCTTTGGGTTACTCAAGGTGCAAGATGTGAAAGCCCCTACCAAAATGGCACGATTGGACTTGGGCGAACGTTCCAGGCTGAGAACCCGCATAAGCTTTTACAATTCCTTGACTTGGTTACCCTTGACGATGATACGACCTTAATTGCAGAGAGCTTGCTTCGACTTGTTGAAGGCGCTTCCATCAAAGATAGTTCAAAAAGTCCCCTTTTGTGGAATATTGAACCGGAGCTCGCGGCTGAGAAAGGCAAACTCTTGATTCCCAGGCTTCTGCCTGATAGGGAGCGCAACGACCGTATCAATGCTCTCAAGCGCAAAGTGGAATCCCAAGCTCTTGTTGGGGCGCAGCCTGTCACTCTTGTTCGCTCGCTCCACAATGCTAATGAAATTGTGTATTCGGCTGGAGAAGGACTTCACCACCATCCAAACCTCATTGAGCTTTCTACAGGCTCGGAGTTGATATCATTGAGAGTGGAGTATTGTTCTGTGGAGCCTGTCTTGCCCAACTACCACGAGAAAGAGCTCTTCTGCTGTGTTGGTCGCACACAAGAGGGAAAGCGATTCTTGGCACTGTCGGACTCCAACTCTTCCATCATTACAGTGCCCCGTATTTTGGCCATTCAACTTGATGGCGAAGACGTTGACGAGGCAACAACTCTCTCAGTATTCATTAGCCTGCTGAGTGAGGTTAGGTCGCGTGTTATCGAAAGGTCGATGCCCTCTGGATACACTACGCTGCTCTACGAATCTGGCCGGCCTCTTGCGACCGCTCTCAACAGGCGTAAGGGTATCACCGATAAATGCTTCGCGTTCATCGACTACCAGACGGAGTCGACTTGTGCTAGCCGTGCCAGTAACCACATCGAGGTTGGACCTCATACCTCAAGGAAGGAATTACAATCAATGATACCCCCCAAAACGAGGGTTCTCATTCACCTGGGACTTAACACTAACACACGCAAGCTTTCCGCTATCAAACAGGTTCTCCCCACTAACACTGCCGTGGTCTCTTTCAGCGATCTTGATTCTGATGGCCTTGCTCCACATGAAGTACTCCTTGAAGCTCTGGCTGATGTGAAAAGTCTTCCCTTGTCACCCGTGGGGGGGTTGGAAAGTAATAGCGTTGTCAAGGCCTCTGCTTTGGTCACAGATGGGACCAAGAAACATGTCATTGTCGCTGACTGGACAGGTGACCAGATGATTACAGTGACGCAAAGGCCCATTGAGCATAGCAGTCTGTTTTCTCAGGATAAGACCTATGTTCTGGTAGGTCTTAGTGGGCAGATAGGTCAGTCCATGTGCCGCTGGATGGTTTTCAATGGTGCGCGGCATATTGTCGTTACGAGCCGGTACGTACATTCCTCGAGAAATCCGGTTGAATGAAGTTTCGCTGATAGACACAGAAATCCTGATAAGAAAGCGCTTTGGAAAGATGAGTTACAGAAGCAAGGTGCCAACATTGCCATCGAGGCAGCAGATGTTACCAACAAGCAACAGCTCGTGGAGCTCCGCGCTCGCATTCTTGAAAATATGCCACCTATTGGTGGTGTTGCCAATGGTGCAATGGTGTTATCTGATAAGCTGTTTGCTGACATGTCTTACGACAGCTTCCAAAAGGTTCTGAAGCCCAAGGTCGACGGCTCCATGAATCTGGACGAAGTTTTCGCTAATGACGACCTTGACTTCTTCATCTTATTCTCGTCGATTTCCGCTGTGACTGGGCAGCGAAGCCAAGCCAACTATGCTGCTGCAAATAACGTAAGCTGAACAAGGGAATGACTTGATAAGCGTGCGGACGAGCTGATATCTTCTAGTTTATGGCCGGTTTGGCTTCCCAAAGGCGTGCCCGGAACCTTGTAGCATCAGTGATTGACATCGGAATGGACATCGGCATTGGTGTTATTCAAAGGACGAAAGATGGTGATGGAATTAGCGCAATGGAGACTACTCTGCGAAAGCTGGACTACATGCCCGTTTCAGAGCGCGATCTCCACCATCTTCTGGCTGAAGCGATCCTTGTCGGTAGTAGCGACGAGTCTCCGGAGATCGTAACGGGATTAGAGACTTACAATATTAACTCCGAAAACAGCCCGTTCTGGCATGAGAACCTGCGCTTCTCACACCTCCTTGCATATGCTGGTTCGTCCCAAACAGGTCAGGGTTCTGGAAACAATGTTCAGAAGACTTGGAAGGAAAAGCTCGCGGATGCCCGTGGGCCAGATGATGCGCTCCAGATCATGGAAGAGGCCATTCTGACGTACCTGGCATCCTCGCTCAAGGTAGGCAGTACTTTCGGCATGGAAAATTCGCTTGTTGTAGCTGACAGAAATGAATAGTTGTCTATTGGGAATATCTATACAGATGCTCCGATCATTGATCTCGGTATTGACTCTTTGGTGGCTGTGGAAATTCGCAATTGGGTATTCGCAGAGATTGGTCATGATGTCCCGGTCTTAAAGATCCTGGGAGGTTCCTCCGTCAAGCAGATTTGCACTGAGGTGGTTGAAAGCCTGTCTCTCAAAGAGAAACAGGGCGAGGCTTCAGAGGTTAAATCCCAAAGTGCTCCAGCTCCGGTCTTTCGCGACTGGGCTAAACATTCCGCAGAAAAGAAGGCACCGGAAGTAGTATCCGAAGAATCCAAGGACGTATCATCCAACATTTCACCGGCAGATGATATTTCGGAGTCAATTGCATCTTCGGAGCGAATGGCTCATTCAGACTCTGTTAGTGACGATCAGCTTACCTTGCCATCAGCCTCCGTTGTTGCCCTGGACATTGTGGACGAGAAACCCCCTCGCCCGGTTACCCTTCGCACAAGGTCACTGTCTTTGGGCCAATCACGACTGTACTTCTTATCTCAGTACCTGGATGATGACACTGTCTTGAACTGTACCGTATCTTACGCACTTTCAGGCAGGCTCGATATGCCCAAGTTAGAAAAGTCCCTGGAGGCAGTGACACAACGCCATGAAACCCTCCGTACCATTTTCTATACCATTGAGGAAGATGGCCAACCCGTACAAGGCGTTATCGGTAAATCATCATTTAAACTGAAAGTGACTCCAGGTATTACTGGCCCGGCAGATGTCAAGAGGGAGTTTGACCAAACTCACAAATATCACTACAACCTCGAGACAGGGAATACCTTCATCGCTACAATCCTGTCACACAGTTATGATTCTCATACCATTATCTTTGGATACCACCACATTATCATGGACGGTGTCAGTTGGCAGGTATTCCAGCAGGATTTGGCGAAGTTCTATAACGACCCGAACTCACCAAAGCCACTGCCAACTCAGTATATTGACTTCGCTATAAAGCAGCAACAGGACATGTTCAACGGAGCCTATGCTGAAAGACTCAAGTTTTTCCAAGACGAGTTCTCTACACCGGTTGACCCATTTCCGCTCTTCCCCTTTGCTAAAGTCAGCACACGCAAATCATTGAGACAGTACGCAGTTAGAGATGTTGTCACGTACGTCAATGCTGACGTTATGAACGCACTGAAGAAGGCCAACCAAGCCTCTCGGACTACATCCTTCCATTTCTTCCTCGCAGCGTTCCAAGTTCTGCTTCACCGGCTGCTGGGCACTGAACAGATGTGTATTGGCATGGTAGATGCAAACCGTTCTGATCAGACCTTCAGAGACAGCATAGGTTTCTTCTTAGAAACTATCCCTGTTTTGCTTCGAGTCGATAGCGAGCAGAAGTTTAGCGAGGTGCTTCAGACCACCCGAACCAAGACATATTCGGCGCTTGCGAAGACCGGTGTCCCGACCGAGGAGATTCTTCGTGCTTGTAACATCCCGGCGTCAACAACTGAGACGCCGCTCTTCCAGGTGGTCTTTAACTACCGCATGGGGGCCAGTCGAACCTCTCCTATGCATGGGTTAGATATGAAGTTTCTGGATTACGCTGACGCTAAGAACCCCTTCGACCTTGTGGTGTCCGTTGATGAGTTGGACGACGGCACTGCCATGCTTACATTCTCCCTACAGGACTACCTGTATGACCAGGAGGGTGCAGAATTGCTTACCAACGCATACGTTCACTTGCTCGATATTCTGTCTGAAGACATCAATCGCTCAGTTGGTAGCGTCCCTATGTTTCCCACAAATCTGACGAAGAAGGCTATCGCGCTTGGCACCGGCCCCCAGGTGGAACTTACTCCCCGACCTGCTGGCACTCTCTCGCAGATTATCAGTACCTGGGTAGACAAAAGCCCTGGAGGTATAGCGGTTAAGGATATCAATGGGAGTATAACAACGTATTCGCAGTTGTCAGACAGGGCAAACGCTATCTCGGCCGCGTTATTTACCGTCGGAGCAGCCTTCTCGAGGCCTATCTGCGTGTTCCTCGACCCGGGGGTAGACACAATTGCCGCTATACTCGGTATCCTCTGCATTGGCGCAGCCTACGTGCCCCTTGATGTCCGCAGTACTGATGAAAGACTGGCCGATATTCTGAAAGAGTCCAATTCAACAATTGTACTCTACCATGCGGCTACTGCGGAACGGGCCAGGGAGCTTCACAGGATTTGTGGCACAGTCGAGCCGATCAGCTTCATTACTCTCGAGGAAGTGCCTCAAAATGTACAGGAGAGAGTTCAGGATTCATCGACTGTGGACGGCCTTGCAATGATTCTTTATACTAGTGGTTCGACAGGAAGGCCTAAGGGGATCCCACTCACCAACGGCAACATCCAGACCACTATCCTCGGTGTCTCCGACCGGGTCCCATTGGGCCGAGATGTCGTGCTGCAACAGAGCGGACAAGGCTTTGATGCAGCTATTTATCAAATTTTCATTGCTTTGGCTAACGGCGGTACATTGATCATGTGTGATAACCGCCGTGACCCCGCAGAATTGGCTGCTCTGATGGTACATGAGGGTGTCACTTGCAGCGTATTCATTGTCTCAGAGATGCAATCCATGCTGCAGTACGGATATGATCAGCTCCGTGCGTGCTCTAGATGGCGCATTGCTATGGTTGCTGGGGAGGCTTTCACGACAAATCTCCTCGAGCAGTTCCGCAGCCTTAACCGGAATGAGCTGAGAATTATCAACGCATACGGCCCGACTGAAGCATCTATTTGCTCTTCCATGCATGATGTATTTCCTATTGGCAACACAATCGATTTCAACATTCCTATCGGTAAGGCTATTGCCAATTACGGAACGTACATTGTCGATGACCAGTGCAACCCTGTTCCCATTGGATGGCCTGGAGAAATTGCGATCAGTGGGCCAGGTGTCGCTAGTGGATATCTTGGTCTCCCTCAGCTTACTGAGAGCAAGTTCAAGGATCATGCCTTCATCAACGGACCATCAGGCTGGGATAGGATTTACCTCACCGGAGATAAAGGCCGGATGCTCTCGGACGGCTCTATCGTGATATCCGGACGGATAGATGGAGATGACCAGGTGAAGGTTAGAGGCATGCGAGTCCAGCTGAACGATGTCTCCCGAGCCATTGTGCAAGCATCCCGTGGCAGTCTTGTAGATGCGGCCGTTCTAGTCCGAGATGATGATAGCAGTAAGCAACAGCTTGTTGCCTACGTTGTGTTCTCTAGGAGAAGCCAAATTCACGACCAGGGAAGCTATCTGCGTCAACTCAGCCAGGAGCTTCCGATACCACTGCACATGCGTCCAGCAATGATGTTGCCCTTAGATATCCTGCCAGTTACAGAAAGAGGCAAGCTCGACAACCGCAAATTGGCGACTTTGCCTTTGCCGCTGGCTTCTGTCGAGGAGGAGGTCAACAACCAACTGACAGAGGTGGAGGTTCGCTTGCGAGAAGTATGGAGACGTGCCCTGGGTGAGACATCTTTCTCTCTGCCTATCCATCGCAGCTCCGATTTCTTCTCCGTTGGTGGTAATTCCCTGCTTCTGCTACCTCTCAAGGCAGAGATTCGCCGAGTATTTGCAATTGATCTCTCCCTACCGGAACTTTTCCAAGCTAGTACTCTCGAACTGCTAGCCGCACGGCTCACGGGCAATTTCCAGAATTCGCAAATCGACTGGGAAAAGGAAACTGGGGTGGATGAGCAGATGTTCGTATTGCCCACTGAACAGAGGAACTCAACTCGCAGTGCTGAGGGCATTTCTGTTCTTCTTACGGGAGCCACAGGCTTCTTGGGAACTGCTATTCTACGCCAACTAGTTGAATCTTCCGACGTCACCCGTATTCATTGCGCGGCCCTTCGCCCCAATGACCAGGGCGAGCCTCGAGAACTGGGCGTCGACTCGCCAAAGGTCGTGCGCCACGCCGGCGATCTCGCGCTCTCCGATCTAGGAATGACCCAAGCGGAAGTGGACGATCTGTTCACTGATGTCGATGTCATTATTCATAATGGAGCCGAAGTATCGCACATGAAAAACTACCGCACCTTGCGAGCTACTAATTTCCAATCTACCGTTGAACTCTCCCGTTTGGCTATACGCGGCCAAATTCCGATTCATTACATCTCTACGGGTGGTGTTACTAGCCTGAGTGGCGTCTCGATGCAGCCTGAATCATCATTGGCGGCCTTCCATCCGCCGGCTGATGGCTCAGACGGATATGTCGCGTCGAAGTGGGCGAGTGAAGTCTTCCTCGAGAAGCTTCATAAGCAGTTCCACGGGCAAATTTGGATTCACCGCCCTAGCAGTATTACTGGTGAGAATGTGCCAGCCCTGGACATTGTCCACAGTGTGCTACGGTACTCTAAATTGATGAAGGCCGTTCCCGATCTTACGGGCTCCACGGGAGCGTTTGATTTCATTCATGTTGACACTGTCTCGAAAGACATTGCGAACTGCGCGGTAGCAAGCACCAATAAGAAGCAGCGACAACCTGAAAACGTGCTCAACTACGTACACCAGAGTGGCGAGGGGGTTGTGCCGATTGATCAGTTGAAGGAATACTTAGAAGGTTCTGCGGTTGGGTCGTTCAGTGTGTTGCCGCTGCAAGAGTGGGTTAGTATGGCACTTGGAGAGGGCTTGAATGAGGTTCTGGGCTCATTCCTGCTAGCGTCCAATGGTGTGATTAGAGTGCCATTGATGGAGAAGAGCCGTCGAAATGAGTGAGGGGTGATGATCTATATGCATATGGCGTTGAGATGGTTTATTTTGTTGTCCTTTTTAAAATGTATTTATTGGCGATCTTTGCCTGCATTTAATATGAGAGTATTTCCTTGAAATTTATATAACCTTGTATAATACTGTAGTTTGGGAGGTTCAATGGAACTTTGAGCTGTGTACTTGGTCCTCGTACTATATTCTTTTCTTGAGACTTCATACCCCGATAGTAACACCAGAAACAAAGATCTACTTGGCCGGGGCCATACAAAACACACAACCATTCCACAAGTTGTGACTCGTTGCACCATCCCAGCACCTGCAAGGGACGGATTTTTGATTTCCCATTCGATTGAGTTCGCATATTTAATTCTTTTCACCAAGATAACTGTATTCTAATTTGCCTAAATTATTATTGGGAATGTCGTCCGGCTTACAAAATCCATAACCTGGACACTGTGTCTGTGCACGTTATTGTGTACAGCTACAATCCTTTCAGAAACGAACCATGCTAAATTCTAGACTCTACGAGTCTCAATCCAGGCGAGATAGAGAAAACACCCATCAGCCGACGATCCGAAAGGACAAACGACCCAAAACCGAAACCCTAATGGATTCGGACTTGGGCAATTCGGCCCGAACTGAGTCGGCGCCCGTACTGGAACGAGTTTAGCGTACCGAACGGATGCCAGACTGAGTTAAGAAGCCGAAAAGGTGGGCCCGAACATCATGCAATTCCAACTATATACCTGGTCCGCCGAATTATGGAATTGGAATACGTTTACACAGTCTCGTAACGTACGTGTGGAGATGACACTAATACCGAGCCCGAGCATATGGGGTTTTTGTACATGCTCATAATAGACTAGGTTCCGAATGGGCAGAGTATGTGGAAGAATGAAGTCCAGGTTTTAGTATGATTTACATTTAGCTTACGTTAGGGTATAGACTATTGTACTTAAAATGTCATCTGCGATTTATCACCGTGCGTAATGATAGAGGAAGAGAATGCGTGAAGCCTTGCACCCTGGAGTAAGAGGAGCCAATATCCAGTCTAAACATGACCCTACTATCGCAATGGTGGTTCCTCCCGCTGCTGGGACTCGTACTGCATTATTTCACTGGAAGTGTAGTGAGGCATCAGCGTACGAAAGGTGCTAAGACACCTCCAGGGCCCAAAGGTGTATTGTTGTATTTTTTTTTCTTGTTTCTTGTTGAGAAATCGTGACTGACGATGCTGCCCCAGGATGGCCTTTCGTGGGAAATGCTTTGGATTTGCGTTCGGCCAACAGCACTGACATGATCCCTATATTCCGCAAGTGGGGTGAGCAATATGGCCCTATTACCCATATCAGCCTCATGGGCGCAAAGCAAGTAATCCTGTCGGACGAGAAGATTGCGAATGAGCTGTTCGTTAAGAGAGGAAGTCGCTATTCGGATCGTGGAGCTCCCCATGCGGTAGAATATATCTCGATGAAGCAAAGCCCTGGGTTCAGAAATAAGGACGGTAAGCTGTATACCCCACTAAGAGTCAATTATCGATGCTAATGACCAATAGAAGGTTGGCGCCGCCAGAGAAAAATGCTACACAGTGCTGTCTCTATTGCCGCAATCAACAAGTACCAAAGCCTCATGGACGATGAAGCGACGTTTTCTCTGTCCGCATTGATTCAGTCGCCATCGTCGTTTCACGATGAGTTTCTCCGATATGCTTACTCGGTTCTTACGAGCTCCATGCTGGGGTTCTCCATCCCTTCGTCATCCGATCCATTCATTGGAGACAATGAGGACTTTACAGCAGAAATTATGAACTCCTTTCGTCCGGATTGTTTTCCCCCACTGGCTGGTCCCCAGTTTGCAAAAGATGGAGAAACTCAGAAAGGAATATGTGGGCCGGATGTGGTCGTTTCGGAGAAAGATCCAGGCAAGTATCAAAGACGGGTCGGCCATGGACTCAATCTATAAACATTTCCTATTGAATCGGAGTGATTATGCTGTGACTAATGAAGAGTCCGTTCATGTGTTTCAAGCCATGATCGACGGTGGCACCCGCTCCCCGCATAATAATCTCATCACACTCTTGTTCCTGATGATGGAGTATCCGGAGTGGCAGAGGAAGCTTCAGAAGGAGGTCGACGAAATTATTGGCAAGGATCGAATGCCTAGCTACCAAGATGTCCCTAACCTGCCGACAGTGAGAGCTATTGTTAAGGAGGGCGTCCGATACCGGTCTATAATGGCGGAGATGGGAATTAGTCATTGTTTGGAAGAGGATGATATTTATAACGGATACGCCTTCGAGAAGGGAACTGTGTTCCATGCAACTTTTGCGTAAGTAATATTCATCAGCATCACTAACCGCCCTCTTCAGGCTTGCTAACTGTACTAGGTCTATCCTGACGGATAAGGAGATGTATCCCGACGGAAAGCTGTTCAACCCAGCCCGTTGGCTGGAGTCCAGCTACCCAACCTACAAGAAACCCCTCACTGTCTACCCTACCTGTCAAGGTTATCCCGCGTTTGGATATGGTCGAAGAGCCTGCCCTGGAGTGGACTTTGCGGAACGAAGTCTGGTGATTTTACTTGCTAAGTTAGGTTGGGCTGTGAATATCGACTGGCCACTCGATAAGGACGGAAATAAAATTCGAAAGACACTAGAGTATGAGCCGGTTCCAGCGCCGAGGCCAATGCGGTTTGATTGCAGGATTGAGCCCAGAGACCCCGAGCGGGTCAAGATTGTCCAGAGCGCGGCTGAGAGATTGAAGATGGACTAGGGCTGGCATGCGGAGAGGCGTTCTACAGACTTAGAGCTTTCTATTCGCACTGAATCTATGTCTGATGTTGTACCATGTTCAAGACCATGAAAAGTACGGTACAAACCTAGATTATACTGGGATTAGGTTCTTGATATGGAGGATTTTACTGCCTGACTACGTAGTACATCGCGAAATCCAAGTCTGCGTGGTAATACTGCGTATGGATCGTCGAAGCTAAATGTTTCTAGGTCTAAAGTTATCTATTTCCAAGATTCTACGGCTATGGATGCCACATCCTTGCCTCGCAAAACGCCAATCTCATGCCCCCCCCCGGTCATGACGTGCAAGTCAACATATTCGCGACAGAGAAGCCCTTGCATATCCTCGAGGAATTCGTCTTTCACGACGATCACATCCCGTTCCGCGAGAATCAGACACCCGGTAGACCGGGCGGTCCATCTGGTGTTCGACGACGCGCCAGTTCGTCTCTCAGGACTTTCCACATTTGGTCATGGCGCCTAAATACCAAAGAACCTCGGATGGTACTCAAATACGACGGCACGAATCCCGGGTTCGCGCGGAGCTGCCATCGGATCACGTCACCGATCCTCACTTGCGGCCGATCCGCCGCAATCGGCACTGCATCGAAGTCCATATCTGCGCCCTGGGCTCTGTCGGGGATATCTGCACTTGAAGCGCCGTTGTTCGGTTCCAGGTCGCGACGAAGGAGTCAGAGGCGTAGCCACTCTAAGGTGAAACTAGATGAGTAGTGGAACTGACTTCGGCGGCTGATATGCGATGTGCGGATCAGTCCTCCCGGACAGATGACGGTTATTGAACGAAGCAGGATTGCGTGGTAAGCGGCAAATGCGACCGCGATTGAGCCGCCAAGGGAGAATCTTACGATATGGAAGGCGGATGACCCCGTCCAGGAGAGCGGGGAAGATGAGAGAACGAGAAGAATCTGCGTAGTGTAGAGCCGAGCGTCATGTGGGAGATCATTCGGCGTTTCTGAGTGGCCTCTACCGAAGAGGTCTGTGGTACAATTGTTAGCAACGATGGTTCCTTGCTGTAATGTATCTATATCGCCAGAATGAGAATACAAGACTCACCGAAGATCATCACCCGGTAACCCCTGCGCACAAACTCCTTTGCCATATCCCCTAAGGCAATACATGGAGTGCCGAGACCGTGCACCAACAAGACCTTCTCGCCATTTTCGGGTCCCCATTCAAACACCTGAATCGTTCCATATACTGTCCTTCCTCCAGGAGAAGCATCCACCGGGTACGGCAATTCAGTAGGTTGCTGCTCGTGGTCGGTGTCCACTCTGGCCTTTGCGCGCGTAATTGAATACTCTTCCGGCAGGTTTTGTATGCCTTTGAGAAACTGGCGGGGATGACCGTAGAGAGCGAGCAATATTGCTGCTGTTAGCGCTGCTAGAAGCGACGCCGGCTTGACAGCCAGTAGCTGGTTTAGATCTACCATGATTGAGTTGAGATGAGATACCATGGAAAGAGAAAAACACCTGGATAATTATCAACTTCTATAGATCAAGCCCTTGTAATCTTATGATATGCCCTAACTTGGCTCTTCTGTCCAACCTAGCGCCGGTTCTTCGGGGTTGATATCCAGCTCTCGGTAAGCTCGATACGTCAGTGGTCTGGATGTTTCGGCACCATGTGTGCATAATCTCCTGCGGAGGACTGTCCTTGGACGCATGGGATAGATCTAGGCTCTACAGGGCTCAGAAGTGTGAAACCTAAGCATGCTTTTCGGCGGGAAGCAGACAATTGGTCCAAGTCTTGAAAGTTTCTATCCTACGAAAGGTATCGTAAACGATAAAGGTTTGAAATGGCATTGAATGAAGGAACACTAGGCTGTGAACAAAGACTTCAATTGAGCTACAGACCACAGAGTAAAGGCGATGCCACATTTTATCCTCGACATCACAGCCATAACCTCTGTGAATTCAGCTGCATCTCAAGAGTCGCTGGTATCACATCCATAGCAGTGGCGACTCCGTACTCCCCCGGTTGAAGGGATTAGATCGCTTAAATAAATTTGAAGAGAGGCTCTTAAACCTAGAGTAGGCACCCTCGCTATTGACACACGGCCAACAAGAACGTCCCGAGAGAGGTTTCGGCAGGTGGTAAGCCCTTTGGCGTACGATCAGAGTCGTTTCGTTTTGTTTCTCCTCGTCTCATTCCTCCATGTAGTACCACTCAATAAAGGCTTCATTGTGACCCGGTATACCTCGAGAGCCAGTTTTGGGATTCAATGCTCCGACAGTTCAGTTTGGAGTTTCAGGAGCAGGCTCGGTTTCAGCTTGCTTGGGGGGGCACACTGGTCAATTTCGGCTCGTCGAGGAATTCGACCTTCTCGGTGACAGCAGAGTAAATGGGCTGGCTGATAATGTGCTCAAACCAACGAGAGACATTGGGGTTGGCCTGGCGCCATTCCTTGCCATAGAAGAACATGAAGCCAAGGGAGATAATACCGGCGCAGAAAGTGTCGGCCAGAGAGATCTCCTCACCGACAAGGAAGGTTTTGCCGTCTAGATGCTCTTCCACCACGTCAACAGCGGCCTGGGCCATGTTTGCGAACATATCTACCGTCTCTTTATTGTAGGGACGGATGCCGACCAAGGGAAGATACTTCTCGACAAGGGGGGTGATGATTTCGGAGTTGAAGAAGGACATCCATTTCAGAATATTGGCATAGTCCCGCTTCGTCTTTCCAAGGAGCGTAGTCTCCTCATTCTGGGAGGTTACTGATGCCATGTGAGCTTCGATCGAACGAAAAGGAGGGCATTGACGTACTGTAAATGGCGATGGCGATGCACTCGAAGAGCTCGAAGCCATCCTCGCAGACAAACGCAGGAACCTTGCCCAGTTTGCTCACCGCAAAGTGGGCAGGGCTCTTGGGCTCTTCAATGATCTTGAAATCGAGGTTGTTGGCATTGGCGACCGCTTTGATAGCGATGGTCCGAGGCCGGTCGCCCTGCAGTGGAATTGTTATTATATGTAGGGGTAGGAAGATGATCGACTACTTACCGGGAAGGTGTAGATGGTGCCGAAAGCCATTTATACTGCTTAGATCTCAATTCAGCAAGGGATGAAAAATCTAAAGAAAATTTACTCAACAGTAAATATTTGTGTCTCATCAATCTCAGTATGCTATTCTTATAAGCCTGCTAGATGTGGGTGGAACCCAAGATTCGGGCTGTAACCCCGAACCTTGTGCAGCCGCCGAACGACCGAACGGCTAAAGTAGACTTCTATAACCATCGAAAAGCAGGTTAAACTCTTATATTGTCGGCAGAAGCCGTACATTCAGCACTTGTATACCAGAACTGAAAAAACAGCATCGAAAAACTATCGTGGCTACCTGCAAACGCTCCGCAAATACAGAAACAGTCATGGCTCCCAGATTGCCGACGCAGCCACATCTCCAGGATGAGGTTCTTCTCGAAAGTTTACAGAACCCAGAGGAATTCTGGGCACACCAAGCGGGGCACCTCCATTGGCACAAGAAGCCAGACACCACCCTCCGAATGGCCCAGCAGACACTTCCCGACGGTACTGTTCACCCCACTTGGGAGTGGTTCTCCGGCGGCGAGATATCGACCTGCTACAACTGTGTCGACCGTCATGTATTGGCCGGCAACGGGGACCAGGTGGCCATATATTATGACAGTCCGGTGACCAATACGAAGGAAAGATATACGTACAAACAACTCCTTGATGAGGTTGAGGCGTTAGCCGGGGCGCTTAGGCAAGAAGGGGTCAAGAAGGGCGATGTGGCAATGCTGTATAGTAGGTGTGCTTCTAGGATACCATGGCATCGATCGCACCACACTGATTCTGAACCCAGTGCCAATGATCCCCGCGGCCTTGATTGGAATCCTCGCGGTTAACCGTCTTGGAGCTATCCACTCCGTTGTTTTTGGGGGCTTTGCACCGAATGCGCTGGCTCAGCGGATTGACGCTTGTCGGCCAGTTGCTCTCCTCACGGCCTCATATTGAATATCATATAGACCGAGTTGGAAAAACGGCCTCATAATGGTCTTCCTCGTGTTCTTCAACAGTTTCGACGGAGCAAAAACGGCAGTCAAGTGTTTTCTGGAACTAAGCCCAATATATCTCCTCGAACAGGTATCAAGCACATGGTTGGATTGTGTTCTGTGCGATGGCTAGCTATCCCTGGTTTCAAATACGTATTTTACATAAACCAAATTTATATCAACTAGCGTTCTAATGCTCAGTAATAGCCTAGCCTTAGAACTTAGAAACGGCTTTTACTGGGATGATGGAAGCTAATTCCGGGATTTAGTGTATATGATTTGTTGCGCAAGCTCGATTTCAATATTCACATTTCCATCCATGGCCATGGCCTGTATCGGGACCGAGGATGTCTTCGGAATGCGCATGTTGCGGGAAGGCGCACTTTATAAGGTACTATCTCCCAAGAAAACAGTGGAAACCATTGCTGATCTTAATCAGTCGTCCGATAAAGCATTAAACATGAGACAGAGATTGCTCTGCTTTGCAGTCGGCGTCATGGCAGTTTGTTTCTGTGACCGCCGAGTCCATGATATCGTCAGGTCACAACCGATCAGGAAATGTCATCGGCAACTATTACAACCAGTACGATATTTCCTTCTACCACTATAGATCGTCTAAAGCTAAAACTATACAGCTGGACCTATTCGGATGGTGTTTACGACCTTACAAGATCCGATGTCATGAATGTGACAGAGCCCAAGCGACTCACTAATATGCTGGTTCTCGCAAGAATGCTATCATAGAGCCACCAAGAGCCGCGCTGGTGATGATCGATATGCAAAGTACTCCGTTCAGTCCCAGGGGGCGGTATTCCTCGTTGGCTGACGATGATATGTTGCAGTTATTTCCTGCATCCTGCTCTTGCGCCAGACGCAACAGCAGGTAGGAGCATTGTCAATACCACAGTTGAAACGGTGAAGTCCTTCCGCGAAGCCAATATTAAGACCTTATGGGTCAACATAAGTATCTGGAGCCCCATAATCATTCGTGTCGAGCACTAATTCTAGGAAAAAGTGGGGGATAGATGACTTCGATATGTTGACGATGCCACCATCTCTATTGGGCAATTTCAGTAACGGGACCAATTTAATGTCGAGTCTGTTTTCCTCAAGTCACCAGATGTTATTGCTGAGCTGACATAATAATAGGCACATTCGGCAGCGACATGGGAGAAATCGACGGCATTAAGCCTGGCAGATTATTGTGGCAAGATGCCTGGAATAGTCGCTTGTATGGACCTCTGGATCGTCTTTATACAGAAGGTGCCAAGCTGGGGACTGATCTTTGGTTTCACAAAAGTAGGACATGAGGATCTATTACCCTTGACTTGCAAGCAATCTTTCTGACATTTTATTAGACCGACAAAGTGGTCTCTGGGGAGCCCAGACACCGCTGGGGCTCTGGCTTCAGGAAAACCAGAGCACTACGCTATTTCTGGGCGGAGTTAACATCGACCAGTGTGTGGTAAGTCATGTCAAGATTTTTTTCGTTATCATGCAAACATACCTAACAAATAGTTTATAGTGGGGAACTCTGCTTGATGGGTTCTACAAAGGCTTTGATGTCATTCTCGTGCCTGACCTCAGCGACGAATAGCCCCTATTAGTAAGTTCGATTGAGATGTCAATTCGACAACAGGCACTAACCTTCCAACAGTGCGACACAGATGGTCTACTACAATACAGACTGTAAGTTTTCCTCGGCCATGCAAGAAAAAATTTTTAACAATTCAATCCAGCAAGGGGCTTCTTGACCAATTCTACTCAAATTCTAGAGAGCTTGGCAAAATGAGCACCTGATGTCATAGGTATCGCATTTCACATTCTGATTCGTTCGTCACTCGTAATATTGTCTATGTAATCTGCTATACCCATATAATATCAAGAAATATAAATATAAGCTCCGCAAAATCTCAGCCAACACCAGAATTAAAATAAGAAAACCGCCAGTGTCCAAACATTGCGAATCCGATCAAAATTCAAATCGCCTGCACTGCTCGCTAATCCAGATCAAATCGAACCAAAACCAAAGAAAATCAAACAAACTGATCCCAGACAAATTGACCCAGTAGAAAAATGAAACACATATAATCAAGGAAATTTGAAAGATACAACAAAGGAAGACAGGCTCAAGGCTATATATGATGCAAATATTCGACAGAGAATTGTTGATCACGCTGAAATAACAAGACCTCGCTGAGAGAAAGACATAGTCAATAGTTCAAACCAAAATAAACACAGGAAAGAGGCTCAAAGAGTGGAATAAAATGATAATGACAAGATAAAGAGAATTAAGCAGTGTGCTTTTGTGTGGGTAGGATTAGAAACTGAAAAGCCCGCTTCGTTTTTTCCCAAGAGGATACACGACCAAGGCGGCGAGGAAGAGTCCAACGGTAAAGCCGATGGCTACCTGAACCATTCCGTATCCAATGTCAAAGACGACACCGTGGAATTGGTCCTGCGAGGTAGGACTCTGGGTCATGTTCTTGGCGGCGTCCATGAAACCCTGGGTGCCGTTCGAAACGACGGCGTAGGGCGAATTTTGAGAGGTGATTTGCTCGGCCGATGCGATTCCCGAGATTAAAGATCCGCTGGCGGCCAGCCCAGATGGAACAAGAACGAAAATGGCGGGCAGCATCGCGGCCGCGGCGAAACCGTGTCGTAGTCGGCTATAAAGATTACCCAGGATCCCGATGACAAAGGCTCCCAGGGCGTTGGAGACTTGGGTGCTGGAGGCGAAGCGCTTCGCGCCAAAGTAGTTGGTCACGTAGCCGGCAAATGCGATGACCAGCATCATAGGCACTTGCTTCCACTTCGCCTGGTTGACAAGTGCAAGGCACAAGGTAAAACAGATGACGAACGGGAAACGCTGAAGGTATTCATTGGTAATCGGACTGGCTGGGCACGTGTATTCAGCAGATGCATCCCCGTCCAACAGGCCGTAGACCGCAGTGCCGATTGTGATTCCAAATCCGAGAAATAAAGAGTAGATAATGGCGTAGACCATGCGTACAGACCCGGCAACGATGCTCCGCGACTGCAGCTCCAAACTAGCGCAGAGCACCATGTATCCGGGTAAGATGAGAGCGATTGATGACTGGGCCAATGCAGAGAAACAGAAGAGACGGTCCCCATTGTATCGAATGCTACCAAAGGCCCGAGCCAAAAAGGAAGTCAACACTGCAGCAGAGATCTCGAAGACGTTCGAGTACAGCTCCGACCGAGGAGACAACACGAGCTGCAGAGTACCAAGCAGGCAACCAAGCAGGAAGGCGATGGGCATGTCGATGGGGCGCGCGTTGAATGCAAATGGACCAACAGCTGCGCTGGCACAGCCATGCACCAGAATCAGAAGCCAGATCGGGTATTTGTTCTTTTTCTTCATGATCTCGTCCAGCCGCTGGATGGCCTCTTCGATACCAATCACGTCATGAATGACCTCTTTATACACAGCATGCACGTCGGACAGCTTGCCCAGGTCAATTCCCTGGGGAGATCGCACCACTTTCACCTCGGTGGTGTGGGTGGAAGCGTCATCGAAAGAGATAATCATGCAGCTCGGTAAATACAGGAATTGACCGTCGATCTCCAGGACACGGGCGGTCATTTTCATATACTCCTCAAGTCGGTGGGTAGGTGCCCCATACTTCATCAAGGCACGACACAGCCGGATGAGGTATCGCTGGCGAGAAAGCAGTTCGGCAATGTGGACAGTGACGCGGATTTCGTCCTCCAGCTGGACCTTGCCCATCCTTTTTGGGGCCACCGGCACAGTCCCGCTGCTGCGCGAGCGTGTAAGCTTCGAGATAGGGGAGCTTTTCGCCGTGGATCCCGACAATGAAGTCATGGACTGATTCGGCGATTTTTCGTACCACTTTCGTGGCTTCTGGGGCTTCCAGGTGGGGTCTGGAGACAAACCTCGTCCGCTGAGGTCGCCAGAGCTACTCTGCCGCGAGTGGCCATAGCCATATCGACCTCGTGGGGGAAAGTTGTTCACTGGCTGGTCGTAGAGCTTGAGAAGCGAAGAGAGGATGCCTCCCCGATAGTGGGTCGGCCGTTCGACGTAAGCGTCAGGGTCCCTCTCCTCCATGGGGGTGGCTTGACCGGAACGGAATCCGGGTGAGGGGGCTCGGATTCGAGTGATAAAGTTGAGATCTTTGCGAGTCATTTGTCGCACAAGTTGGTGGGCTTCGGCGGTGCGTGTTGAGGGTCGTCCGTCTAGTGGAGCGTATTCATCGTCGTCGGAGAAGTTGTACTGTTTTTCAGGGAGACTGATCATGGGAATTTCATCCCCATCTTCTTCCAAGGGAAGGGCCGCCTCCGTGGGGGTTGACGCGATCGATGACGGCAGACTGGACCGAAGGCTTGGTTGGGGAGATTTGGAGGAGCGACCTAGAAGGGATGCAAGTCTTTGAGCCCTCTCCTGAGCCGAATGAATGGCTCTCCCCTTCTCATAACTGACCTCATCATCGCCGACGAGACCCGGGGAGCTCGCTCGCGAGTGGATCGTTAAGCCCATGGCACCTACCGGTGAGTTAGAACTGATATCGACCAAGGGCAACGATTGGGTGTCCTGGGGAGCTCTCTCTGCCGGAGGAATGCTGGCAGTGGGCAACGGCCTCTGTGGCAGCAGCGATGAGCCCCTTCCATCAAACGAGGTCTCTGACGTTGGTCCTGAGGGACATGCGGTAAGCCCCGCCTCGCTCACGGTGAACTTAACGCGATTGGCGCTTTTGAGAATGCCTGCATTCCTCTGCTTGCCCTGATATGGACTGGCGTCCATTGACCGTTCCTGCACGATCTCATTGGGGGTCACCACGGGCGAGACACGCGGCCCTAAAGAAGATCTGGTGTAAGGAGGTCCCGATACATCAGTAACGCTCGAGCGCCTGGACGAGGAGATTGGTAGATCAAAATAGCCTCCAGCCATTTTTCTTTCTGTGGTACCTCCCCGGATTCTTTACGAAACTGATAGAGATGGTCTGAGTCCAAACAGAGGCACCAGTAATCCGGTATCCCTTGGGAATCTTCGTTTTATCCTTTGTTTGTTTCCTTTTCTGGTTTTTGTTGAGTTTATTTTGCTCAGGAGAGTTTCTGGGTGGCAGCCTAAGGGATAGTCAGATAAGAGATTGCATCTTTAGGAAACTCAATAGGTTGACTTATGAAGTCAGGAAAACGTACTTGTAGGATTTCTGCCAGGGAGGAGGGGCACGGACGTGAAATGTAGCGGTACCGTTGGAATCAATCCACGATGGATGAAGCTGACCGGTGTTTGGAAGGAAGGGGGTGAAGGTCCCGCTACAAAGAATGGTGGTACGTCACCGATGCATAGTCAAAAGAGAGGCGCAAATCAGGGCGTTCAGAGAAAATGTCCTAATGGCAAAAACAAGCGAGAGGGATCGAAGGTGTCGGGGAGGATATAATGCAAGAAAGGGTAGAAGATAGGACAGTATAAGAGGAGCTCTAAATTGTCCGATGTATGAAAGCCGCCAAGAGTACACCCCGAATAGAGATCAGTTACCAAGATTAGGACACAATATTCATATGAAAAAGAAAGAGCGATTGAACAAAATTCTGCGCGGACTTTTCGCGTAGGTCTGTGTAGCAAAAAAAATCGTTCGGAGGAATAAATATTAGATATTAAATAAATGTCCCACTGTTGGGAAGTGCGCTTATGACAGTTGGGACCTGTGTTAAGGGATATCAAAAGGACCAAAAGGGGAGGAGAGGAGGATTTGTATCAGACCGGGGTCCATTGCCACCATAATAAATCACCGGAAAGGTCGAAAGGCGTGACGAATCTGGCAGATGAATCACAGACCCCCCAGGGCCCAGACAGGGAATTTCGAAATATTGTGAGTTTAGAAATCAAATAGATCGTTCCAGTTTTCAGAGCTCCGACCAATGGCTGTGGTTTCAGAGGATCCAGAATAGAATATGATAAAAAAACTTTTCGGAAAAGAGGGTGACACCCAACCCCAGGGGGACTAGAACGGCATTCAGGCATAAGCAGGACAGCTCTTTTTGCGACTATCTTGGATTGAGGCCACGGTCGTCGACGGAAGCGGTTCCACGGGCTCCACGATTTAGTACCACAGTGCCTAGAAAACAGGGTCACATTGGCTGGCAAGAACCGAAAGAAAAGCAAGAAAAAATAAAAATAAAAATTAAGGGCGATAAGCTAGTAGCTTTGATTTCCCTTTTTTTTTTTTTTTCCATGCGGGAGCTTTCTCCTATCCTTGAAATTTTTGAGTTGGCGTTTGGCCTGTCCGACACATTCTTTCTTAGCAACTCTTTTTTTGTATCTTCCCTCCACCTTGAAGCATCACTGTCTTTCGAATTTCCCGCCCTGCAATATTCAGAAAATTAGTCCATATGGCTATGCAGTCGGAAATCGAAACAAATAACAATATAATGTTGGGCTGAATTGTCGAACATACCCCACCAAGTGGAACAGCCTGGATCATCCTTCTGGAACCTCTCACGCCGCAAGAACAATGGATCCTTTGATAGATGCGAAGGAAAGGGACGAATGCGGTTCCTGAATCCGCTGTCAGCACTTAGAAAAAAAGATTTTTTCCCCTCTCTCTCTTTTTT